GGCGGGTGAGCGGGGGCCCCAGCCGCCCTCACACACCCGGGGCCCTCTCACCCTGCAACCCGCAGGTGTGCCAAAGGAGGGGAGGGGAGGGGAGGGACCGAGGCTTGTGGGCACCCTGGGCTCTGGGTCAGAGGTCCTAGCCCAGCCCAGAGGAGTGCAGCGCCGGAGTCTGGGCAGCCTGTGGCGCTGTCATTCCTTGTCACCTGTCACTTGCGGCACTGTTTAAGGACACTGGTCTACCTCGGGGGCCAAACTACCCCCAGGACTCAGACTGCCCGATGAGGAGCATGACAGGATGAAGAGGATGGTGGGCATCCCCTGGTGGGACCCCGGGTCACTCTGGGGAGGCCCCCTCCACAGCAGGGAGGCCAGCACCTGGAACAGCTACTGGGCCTCAGGTGGCCCTGCCCGCCCACCCACCAGCACGCCCAGCTCCTCTGGAGCCTGCAAAGAAACCATGTTCTCCATTCACAGAAAGTGACAGAGGCCTGGCCTGGACACGGGGAGTGGCAGCTGGCGTCACCGTGCCCTGCTCGCACCCCGGGCTCCTGAGTCACCCTGCCACCCCCCAGATGCTCGCTGGGTCTTGGGTCCAGTCAGACCCTCAACGATGGACTGAAAAAGGGGATTTCTGAAAGATGGAAACCACAGGACTGACACCGCCAGGAGGGACCCGCAGGGGCCTGGCCAGGGCCAGTCCCCTCCAAGGCCTCCCTCACCTGGCACTGGCCTCCCAGCCAGCAAACACCTGCCGGGACTGCCCGACTGAAGTCAGCTGCCAGACCCAAGACGGGGCCACTCGGCGTTTTGAGGACAAAAACGAAAAACAGAAACAAAAGAACAAAGTGGCCCGATGGAACACAGTGCACTCGAAGCCTGCTGAGCCCTCAGCCAGGCCCTGGGCTGCCTCCCGGCCACCAGGAGCCACCATGCTGCAGCTCAGTGACAGGAAGGCTCCAAGGGGAAGCTGCCCCATCCCACACAGGGACATAAGTGACGCCGCATGAGTGACACAGGAGGCTGAACTCTGCGGACAGAAGACCAGGGCAGAGGAGGACTGGCGTGAAACACTCGGAACGGCCGTGCAAGGAGGTGCTCGCGGCTGCCTGGGGGACAGCTGTGTGGCCGTGGAAGGCATGGCCTGCCCTGCACAGTGGGCTACACGTGCCACGGTGGCCAGGCTCACCTCTTCTCCTTTCTGGATCCTCCGATTGGAGCTGATGATAATCTTGTGTCCTCTCTCGAAAGTCACCACTTCGGCCACACAGTTGGGGGCACAGGAATGGTTGATGTACCTGTCAGCCACCGTTAGAAAGCACTTGTCATGAGTGACTAGAGAAGTTCCCAAACTTCTCGTCACAGAGAACTCTGCTCATTTCATTTCTTTTTGCCCATTAATAGAATAAACATTTTACATAAACTTCTCGACCCTTGTCTGCTGTAACTGTAATGGCTGCAAGGCCGCAGGACCCGTCTCCCTGCCTCAGGCTCCTCACTAGCACTGACTGGCAGAGCCCTCTGGCTCACCTGGCAGGCCCTCCTGTGAGCGTGGCATCGATCACGTGGTCGTTGTCCATGCGGAACATGTACACGCCGCGGTTCTGCAGGAGGAGGCGGGCGGTCAGCGTGTGTACCAGGCATTGCCCTCTGTGTTTGCACCCACGGCAGGAGGGCAAGCTTGAAGCAGAACTGAAAAGCACCCGGACCCCACACACTATGGCCGCTACTCGGCACGGGGAGGTGACACTGACATGGCAAGGAAAAGCAGCCTCCAGCCAGGCGGCGTCTGGAGCCAGGCTCACTGTCCAGTTACGTCTTTGCAGGCAACACCAGGGGGAGAGAGAAAATCGATGGCAAGAGATGAGAAAAGGACAAGAACATCCTGGTGAGCTTTCATACAAAGCCGACAGCCATGGCCGAGGAGGTGGGGCAGGCGGTGGGACACCATGTGGGGTCCGGTCCAGGTCCGGGTCCAGGTTGCCCTGAACAGGCTGGGCGTGCCCAGCAGCACCTGCAACCCTGGCTGGCTGGCTGGAGGCGGCAGGATCACCGCAAAGCCTCGTGGGAGATGCCCGCCCTCTCAAGTAAGAAACTTAAAAGAAAAAAATGGACCCTGCATGACAGACTGGGCCCCGCCTCTCCAAGCACTCGATGGCACAGGGACAGAGGACAGCTGTGCCCCGCCTGCAGCACCGCAGGGCCCCGTGGCCCACCTGAGACTCGTAGAGTTTCTCCTTCCTGTTGGCGACCTCGTTGCGGATGATGGTCCCGATGTACTCGATGACCATGGTGTGCTTCTCTATGTCCCTGGCAGCGTACAGGCCCAGGCCCTGCAGACAGTGCGTGCTCTCAGTGAGCTGACAAGCTGCCTTCTCTTCCCACACAAATGTGACCTTGGGTCTTACCAAAATTTATTTCAAATGTCACCGAGGCAAAGGATTGCTTATAGAATATGCTGTTTTCTGAAATTTAGAAATGTGACTATCCTCCCCCTTAAAACTATGCTGTCGCCCCCTGCTCCCTCGTCTTTTTACATCAGATCTCCAGGCACCAACCACTCTGCAGCACACAGCCGGGGCCGCCATGGGAGCGTCTGTCTACGAGCGGCTGTGGCGTCCCTGCACTGGCCCTGGGATACAGAGGGAACCGCACACACGGAGCAACACGATCTGCCTTCCCAGTCTGGGGACCCAGGGTGAGCTCGCCAGGGGGAGGAACAGACTCTAAGTAGGTCTCTGCAGATACAAAACCAGGTACGGCAGGAGCAGGGACTAGACTCTGGCTGAATGTGAGTGGGGTTATTTATATTTACCAAATGCTGCACACTGTCCAATGGAATAAAATAAAACTGCCTTAAACATGCAAATACAAATTTCTACAAGAAAAATCAAAGAGACTATACATACAATCTAAGATCTTGACCAAGACTAGAAGCTACAGAAGGATAAACATTTTATATACAAAAATTAAAACTGCATAAGGAAAAAAGATACCATACCTCTCAGAAGGCAAAGGCTCTTTTGGGACCAGCAGTTAGTGTAATGGCTATGTCGCTGGACTCCCATGTAGTTGACCGTGGTTCAAGTCCCAGACCCAGAGGCTTAAACTCACGCCAGGCGCGTGTGCGTGCGTGCCCAAGATCCCGAGAGGAGAATGGAGAAGGGATTGTGGTGTGGCCATCCCCCCGGGGGGTAATTTCTCACTTTCTATCTCTCTGTCCTCTCTCTGTCTGGTGAGCGCACGCGCCCTATAGCAAAATCCTCTTAAAAAAAAAAAAAGCAAAGGATCTTTTTTAGGAGAAAATATCAGATAGTGTGCCACGTTGCTAGAGTTGAAGAAGTGGACACGAGATGTAGATGTGCGTGTGCAGAAAAGCAAATCTAGCAGCTGACATGGAAAGTCACTCAGCCGTCAGAAGTCAGGAATTACAATCGAAATCTGGTTATAGTTATTAGTCAGGCAAAAATTTAAAAGGTGGGAAGACCTACTACCAGTGAGAAAACAAGAACAAAAATAGCCTGCAGGAGGAAATCTGCAATTATAGCCTTTTTAGAAAACCTGCAATATCTACTACGATGAAAAAAATATATACTTTTAAACACAGAGAGCTGACGTTTGGGAATATACCACATGGGAGTGAAACTGATGGCAGTTCTGTTTGCTGTCAACAGAAAGGTCACAAAATGAATGCTTATTGGCAGTGGAATGGTTTCCCGACAGCTCATCGATGTCATAGGACGCCAGGTGGCTCGAGGGCTGACAAGGCTTCCTCTGCTGCGCTACAAGTGCCAGAGTGTTAGTGAGGAAGTGGACAGGACACGGTCCCACTGTCCGCAGTGCCCACGGCTGTGCAGGGACCTCCGAAACCTGAGGAGGGGCCATGGAGGACACCACCAGATCACCAGCGCAACCACCTGAAGGGCGGCTGAGAGAACGGCAGGGAAGACACAAGAGGAAAGAGCTCCCAGAACAGCTCAGGTTGAAGACGGCAAACTGAACACGGACAGCGAGATACCACCACAGTCACAGCGCAGGGGAGTCCTCAACACGACAGGAATGTGTTTACAAGAGTGAATGAAGTATTTCAAACACTTAAAAACAAAAATCCAGTTCATTTAGTAGCGAATGCTACAACAGGAAGGAGCAGAAACAGCACTGACTCACCCACCCACTACAGGTCTGAGAGGCTCAGAGGGACACAAAGTGTATCCATCAGTGAAAACAACAGCAACCGCAGGAAGACATCCAGAGCAGACCTTACAGGCTAGCTCGTGGCCTGCTGGCTAAGTGCTATATCCTACACGGCCAACCGCGCAATTCAAGTTCCGGACCCGGTGACTTGAAAAGTATGCCAGGTGTGTGCATGTGCGCCTAAAATCCCAAGAGGAGAACGGAGAAGTGAATGCAGTGTGGGCATCCCCCTGCAGGGTGCTTTCTTGCTTTCTCTCTCAATCTCTCTCCAGCAAGTGCACACGACCCCTAGCAAATTAAAGAAGAAGAAGAAGGAAAAAAAAAAAAAAAAACCAGCAGATCTTAGATGATCTTTAAAGAAAGATTGGCAGAGAGAGTAGAGGAGGCCTCTGAGTGAATAGAGACAGGAACGTAAGACAGAACTTCTCTGGCACGTGTGAGAATCCCCCAGGGGTCACACCCCCATGGCTGGTGCAGGAAGGTCTGCCGGCCCCACACCTGCTTGTCTTAATGAGTCCCCAAGTGACACTGATGCTGCAGTCTGGATCCCACATCACAGGGGTCTAACATTGGTCCAGAGGGGCAGACAGAAAACAGAAAGGAGAAACTGGTAAAACTAACATAAAACACATTTCTCAGACGGAGGGTCAAGGCGTACAGGTGGGTCGTGGCGGGCAGGTGCCCCCGTGGGATGCTGTAGCCACAGTTCAAAGTTCAGGGTTCAGACCCTGGTGAACCTGAACACACTGCGTGTGCCTGCGAACAATCCCGACTCACTGGGAGGCTGAGAGAAGACACGGCATGGAGAGACTGGGCTGCCTGGCGCTCACATGCTCACTCTCGAGAGAGAGAAAACCTGAGGGAGGAAAAAGACCTAACTCGGGCACATTTTTGTGGCATGTCTGAATGTTCAGAATAGAGATCCCCAGAATTCCCAGTGTGGAGGAAAACAGTTTCAGTGGAGGAAAGAGGATCTGAATACAGGCAATGGAGTGCTGATCTGGCTCACACTTTACAGGGGTTCCAATGGCTCTGAGCAGGGACTGGCCGGGGAGACCGCAGCTCTGCACTGGTGCAGACAGAGAGGTGAGGACTGAGACAGGCGAGGAGCCTGCGTATGGATTTGAGAAAACTTTCAGGAGCAAAAGTTTAAAAATCAACAGAACTGGATGATGCTCTGGGTTTGGGAAGGGAGGCCAACTGAAATGTACATCGATTCCACCCGTAACAAGGAGCCTGAAGGGTGATGGGGTTAGGAAGTGAAGAGCGCTGGCCAAATGACCAGCTCCGAGAACCCCTCCTGGAACATGTGGGAAGGGAAGCTGAACAGGCTTTCAGGTGCTGGAGTCGGGAGCCCGAGAAGCAAGGACGGCAGCTGCACGTTGAACGCCTACTACTAGCTGGCCTCCCCTGTAGGCAGCCCGCGGTATCGGACACTACGCAATGATTTCATGGAAAGGCAGCTCCCAGAAGATAAGGTAACTGGGACCAGCAGCTAGCACAGTGGTTATCGTGGGGGACTCTCATCAACCGCGGTTAGAGTTCCAGACCCGAAGGCTTGACACTCACAGTAACAGGCGTGCACATACGTGTGTATGTGCGTGCACCCAAAATCCCGAGAGGAGAAAGGAGAAAAAGGGATCACAGTATGGCCATCCCTCCAGGGAGTGATTTCTTACTTTCTCTGTGTCTCCACCAAGCACATGTCCCCTATAGCAAAAATCTCTTTAGCAACAAAAGAAAAAAAAAGATAACTTCTCAAACTGGAGTACCTTTTGAAAATATTTTCCTCAGTGCTTTTCACGAGTCCTTAGAAAACACATGCCGTTCTGAACCTCACACAGACTCAGTGTGCAAAATGACCTCCGCTGCCTCCCTGGGTACCCATCAGGGTGCGAAGATGTGGACCCGCCCTGGCGGGGGTCTCACAGGACACCCACACCGCACTGTGTCGCCATGCTTAACTGCCGTGTTACAAACTGACAAGGCTGAACGGGACTTCCAAAACGAGACCCCATCCCTGCAGCCAGGCGCAGCCCTTCGCCGCCTCCAGCTGTCTGGACTCCACCCGGACACAGAGTGCTGCTTCACCTGAATCCGGGACCGGGCCAGATACACGTTGGATTTCCATTCGGTCTTCATCTTCCGGTACTGTGACGACTTGGAGTGGACGAACTGCTTACTGTAAGGAGCGTTCAGCTCCCCGGTGACCGTGCTCTGGAATGACTTGGAGGTGCTGGTGCTGTTCAAGGTGTGAGGCCTGCAGACGACGGCGTGTCAACAGAGGAAAAGACAAAGGACACTGAAGACACCTCTGCATAACGCCCAGAGCCAGCTGGATTGTTCTTACTGACAGGGACACACATGGAAAGCTGCCTAGCAGAGACGCGCTGCGAGCTCTCTGAGGTGCCGGCACACACACAGCCGGACGGCAGGGCTTGCAAGCAGCAGACACACCGAGCACGAGAACCGCGGACACGCCGGGAAACCCTGGGCTGTACTATGTGAAGTTAGAGCAGAATACCTTAACACAAACCTCTTGACATGGGCACTCATTTTAGGTTCAGAACGGGCACAACCTGTGGGGTTAACGGCAAGAGGAAGTTCCATGAGAGGATTTCGGCCGTATCGGAAGGTGTAGTTTTCACATGCCTCAACCCCAGGTAGCTGCAAAAGAGCAAAACAGGCAACAATAACTTGCTTTTGCTCAGGACTATCGACCTCTTGAGCTGGCCAAAGAATGGCCCGATGTGGAAGTCATCTGCAAACATTCTCTCCGGGAATTAGTCAAATTAGTCTTTAGGCTTCAGCTAACGTGGTCCACCTGCATGCAGCTCTGCCTAAGTATGAGTGTGCACATCCACTCATGTGCCCTGCAGCACGTGGAGGTGCAGAACCACCACGCACAGACCGAGGCACGTGCTCGTGTGACCTCAGGGTCTGACTATCCCTAACGCTTGTGGGCAGTTCTTTCACCTGGAGTAACACCAACTCTTGTACCACCATCTGGGATTCCAGAATCAAGGACAGTTAAAAATAAGGTATACGGTTTACTCCCAGATCACTTCGCACTTCAGTTTAACTATGACGGCGTGGGACTTTCGCACTCGGTGTCCGAGGAGGACAGCTGGTAACTTCAGGTTTACTCGTAAGGAGCAGTCAGGATTGCTCAGACAGGGCTACCCTCGAGAGGTGTGCCTGAAAGCCGCAGTGCCCTAGTGCAGAGTCGTGGGGTGCTGGCACACACTGGGGCACCACCAGGCACCAGCCTGCTCTGCACCTGGGTCCCATCACATAATCCTATGGGACCACTGTTCAATGCACAGTCCCCTGCTGACCAAAAAGTCACCGTGCAGAGTATGACTGACGTGTATAGGCTGAAGTTCTTTTCTAGAATGTATTTCTTATAAAACATGTTTTTCTGTAGTCATAAAAAAATACACCATTTAGGCAGGTCTATCCCCCCCAAAATAATTAGGCTTGTTACTCAGTGGCTTTCTAATCTTTCCAATTTTTCCAAAGTATTTACAGATACAGTTCATTAGAGTCGTGGTCAAACAAGTGTACCATCTTCTTAGTAAAGAGAGGTCAGTGAAGGCCTGCACCCACACTCTGCCCCCCCTGCCCTCTGGGACTAACCCTGGGAGGGTCCCGCCATTCACCATGGCCAAGAGGGCACGGGGCGGGGCCTCCCCTCGCTAGCCTTCAGCCCTGAGGACCTGAGTGTGGACTGCCTCACCGAGCGGGAGGGGCTCTACGAGTCATCTCCGTGCTTCACCTCCTTTAAGAGAAGTTTCTCTAAAGCAAAGTCACTTCCTGAAAAGCACTGTGCACATGGTGCCACGTGTTAGGTAGTCATGCCGAATGCACAAGGTCAGCCTGACCACACCCCAAGGACTCACCGACTCAGCGATCCGGGCCACCGCAGAGACTGTCAGGCCAAACAGGTCTTCTCCTTTCAGATATGCTGGGAAGAGCTGGAGCATCTCCGACTTTTTCCTCACACAGGCCACAGGCTCCAGAATTTTATCCCAGACACCTGCACATGGGCAACACATAATTTTACAATAAGCTTGCTCTCGGCCAAACAGAACACAGGCACCGTATGAAGCACGAAGCCACCACTCACGAAGTAACTGCTTTCCGACTAACCCTGTCTGGTGGTAACCCAACTCTGTGTCTTAGATGGCAGCCACGTATTAACGATGTTAAAAGAAATAAATTGTATTAAAATAAATTCTACTAAGGACATAAAGCAGCAAAAGTGGAAAAGACAGTTTACTATCATTAAGTTCAAAGTCAATTCCCTTTCACGGTGGCCTTACAACATACGAGATTAGAAGGTGATTAGTCCGGTTGGAGCACCTGTAGATACCTGTTCTTTTCCCCGCAGATGTAAAATGTTACACGGATGCAGGTTAAGGAATTGTCTTTAGAGCATTTTCATACATTTTTATAAAGCTTGCTAATCTTTGAAAAAGCAGCTTCCCTACAACAGTAAAAGCTAAAATTCGGATTCAATGCTGGAGGCCAAAACTAAGTGTCTCGATTCCCAGTTCTTAAGCTACGTCTAATGCGCGGCACTGCTGAGCCACGACAATGTCCACTGCGCACTTCACACAACTCCCGCCCTCTGGGGAGAGGGTCCCCGATGTGAGTAACAGGCAGCTTTCACCTACAAGTCGTTTTTGGATTCATTTTACCACCTCTCACGCTCCTCCTACATTAACTGTAGACGTGTTTAGGAAATTGGGCAGTGAAGAGAGCCACGTGCTGTAACACAAAGAAGTGAAGCTCTGCACGTATAAATTTAACAATCTCTGTTTTTTGTTGTTGTTTGCTTTTTGAAAGATTATTTGCTATAGGGCTGGTGCGCTTGCTGGAGAGACACAGAGACAGAGAGACAGAAAGTGAGCAATCACCCCCCCAGAGGGGATGGCCATCCCGCAATCCCTTATTAAAATAAATTCTACTAAGGACATAAAGCAGCAAAAGTGGAAAAGACAGTTTACTATCATTAAGTTCAAAGTCAATTCCCTTTCACGGTGGCCTTACAACATACGAGATTAGAAGGTGATTAGTCCGGTTGGAGCACCTGTAGATACCTGTTCTTTTCCCCGCAGATGTAAAATGTTACACGGATGCAGGTTAAGGAATTGTCTTTAGAGCATTTTCATACATTTTTATAAAGCTTGCTAATCTTTGAAAAAGCAGCTTCCCTACAACAGTAAAAGCTAAAATTCGGATTCAATGCTGGAGGCCAAAACTAAGTGTCTCGATTCCCAGTTCTTAAGCTACGTCTAATGCGCGGCACTGCTGAGCCACGACAATGTCCACTGCGCACTTCACACAACTCCCGCCCTCTGGGGAGAGGGTCCCCGATGTGAGTAACAGGCAGCTTTCACCTACAAGTCGTTTTTGGATTCATTTTACCACCTCTCACGCTCCTCCTACATTAACTGTAGACGTGTTTAGGAAATTGGGCAGTGAAGAGAGCCACGTGCTGTAACACAAAGAAGTGAAGCTCTGCACGTATAAATTTAACAATCTCTGTTTTTTGTTGTTGTTTGCTTTTTGAAAGATTATTTGCTATAGGGCTGGTGCGCTTGCTGGAGAGACACAGAGACAGAGAGACAGAAAGTGAGCAATCACCCCCCCAGAGGGGATGGCCATCCCGCAATCCCTTCTCCTCCGTTCTCCTCTCAGGATTGTGGGCGGCGCATCCACACACATCTAGCATGGTTTGAGCTGCAGGGACTGGGACTCGAACTGCAGTCAGCCGCATGGGAATCCAGCGCCTTAACCCCGATGGCATCTGTTAGAGGATGAAATGAACTGACAAGAAAGGTGGAGACGTTAGCATCAGACCCCGAGCCAGCGCGAGCACGCTGGCAGAGGCGCTCACCTTTGGGCGAGCTGTCGCTCAGGACAAGGTCTTCGTGGCCCTGCTCCACAATCCTGATGACGAACACCGGGTGCCCGTCCTTCTCCTCAATGGAGCACAGGTAGCGGCAGCGCCGGTTGGCGTAGCGAGTACTCCAGTACAGCCGGCTGGCTTCGTAGCCCACGGGGAAGAGCGCCTTGGCGGAGTGGAATGCTTGCATCTGCTGTGGCAGCAGCTGGCCGATTGTGTGGAAGATGAGGCTCCCGACCCGGAAGGTGTGGTCGCGCTCTCCACGCTGCACAATGCTCGCGATCTGACGCACCTCATCGCGCTGAACGTAGACCCTCCTGAAGACCGCAAAGTAACTTAGTTCTTGATCATGGATTCCCTTTGGTTTGTGCATGGGGCAAAGCATAGTTTTATCTTTAAAAAACATGCATTGTGCTTTAATTGCGCAAGTAAAGTGATAAATGTTGGTGCATCGAAACCTGTGGCACCCGCTGGTCGCACCCGTCTTGTGGCAGAAAACGCACTTCATCTGTAGGCCTCTCCTCAGCGCCAGTTCCACGTTTATCAGGGCACCAGCCTGAGTCTCATAGACTTCTGTGGACCAGAGCGCACAGTTCAAGTGGACCCACAGATCCAGGTCAAGGTTGAGAAGCCTCGCCGGGCCATCTGTCAGTCCGTCACCTTCCTCGTGGCAGAAGCAGCACTTGCGACAGTCTCTGGGCACAGGATCAGGTTTAAGGGACGTGCCCAGTTTCTTCAGAAATTCATCAATTTCATCCTCGCAAGGTGGTTTGAAAGTCCCCTTGGGGATCACAATGTGAATGCTCCATTTCTTCCACTTCATCCCTCTCCACTTTTTATTGAGCGGCCTGCACTCCTCAAATCCGCCGTGCACCGTCCGCAGCCGAGGCTTTAACTTGACTGTGACCTTGAGCTCATCGGGCCTGGCTTCCACTTTGGCGGCTTCGAGGGCAGGAGGGAACGTGATGGGGGGCGAGGCAGGGGGAGAGCCCTTGTCCTGGAGCTGCGGGAGACAATGCACATCTAAAGTGGAGATGTTGTTACTGTACTGATGAAATGCTCTGGAGGGCTTTTCTCTCATAGGTGACCGTGGCAACGAAGGAACAGATTCCTGGCCAACAAAAAGAAACCATGAAAAAGAGGAATAATCTCGAGCCCCCAAAGCAACTCTTGTTAAAACCAGAAACCAAGCAGTGGTTTCATAGGGTGCGTGACTGGAAGGGCTGGGGTCGGTCAGTAAGTAAGCGGCGACGGTCCTCGTGGGGCCGAGTCGGTACTGAGTGAGCATCTAAGGCGCGTGCATATGGACAGAGCTGATGAAAGGGCCCTGTGGGCAGATCCTTTCCCTCCTCTTCCACCAAGCCCTGGCTCTGGAGAACGGTCTCTCCTGACCCTTCCTGGACACCCCTCGGTCTGACTACAGTAAAGCCAGGGCAAGTCAGTGCTGCAGAACATCCGGCCGGTCTGAGCTGTAAGCCAAGAATGCTGCAGCAGCACCGAGGAGCTATCTGCACTCTCCGAGAGGCCTGCATGTTAACCTCAGCCTTAATCAACTGGTGTAAATGTCAGAGAGGGAAGGAGTCGCCCGTTGACTAGCCAGTCACGTTCACCTGTCTCTGCGTTCCCTGGGCTCTGATCGGTGGCTGAGAGCGGGCTGAGGGAGGTGCAGTCTCGCGGCACCGGTTTTCGGTAGCATAAACTCCTAAGCACTAAACCCACGGGTTCCCCTCTCCTCACATAAGCCCTCCTACGAGCTCCCTGAAAAAAAATGACATACCTCATACAGACTCTAGAGGGGCAGAATTACACTCCAACGTAAGAAACGGGCAATTCCTTCTCTCGCCTCGGATGATATTTTTTAAAGTCTAACGTTATCTGTCATATAACTTGGACTTAATTATACTGGGGACTGCTGCCTATTAAGAAATAAGTCTCCAGAATGTTCTTACGTGCAGGACAGTGGAGCAGGGGTCCGGAGGCCTGTAGGACTGACAGTGCTATGACAGGGCAAGAGTCCCCTCACAACGTGTGATTAGAGGCGTGTCACCGGTCAGCCACACAGACATGCCGAACTCCAGGGCGCCCGAGAGCAGACCTTCTCATGGTCTGAGCAAGAGACTCTCTTGCAAAACACTTTCTCTCAAAATCTATTAATAGACTTCAACTTAATTTTTGAAAAGGCTTTCTTTTATAAGATCAGTAAAAGCAATTTTTAAATGTCAGTTAAGGTGTTTGTAATTAAATTAGTAAAATTTAAATAATTTCACATAAACATTCTCTTTAATTTTGCACTTTTAGGACATAACTTAAGTCTACCCACTTTGTCAAATGACTTAACCTGAAATGACCTTTGTAACAGACTCTTTCTCAACCCAATCAGCGTCTACTCAGGGCTTCCCGCCAGAGGGCTCGCGGCAGGCAGAGCGCGGATGTATGTCCAGAGCGGGGACTCGCTCACCAGGTACCATCGCCTGGCTGACACTGTCCGAATTTTACCTTGCTTTCCGAGCCTTTCGCCTGTGCGGTTGATGAATACAGAATAAAGCAGTTATTACTACAAAAGACAATGTCCTTCTCCACTCTCTTAGAGCCATCCCGGGAATCCTGAAAAGCAAAGAAAAATGTGCGGGGTCTCAGGTCAAAGTTTAATAAAAGCGAGATCTATACATTGTTTCTACGGTGTATCCACACGTGAGAACAGTTCTCTATCTTAGAAGTAAAAAGACAACTCTGCTCCAATATTTGGCAAATGATTTAACCACAGAGAAAATACATGTACAAAATCAAACGCCCTGCCCACACTGCACCACTTCAGAACACATGGGCCTCACAATACTCAGGTGCCAAGGACACTTTCACCGGGGCGGGGCGGGGCGGGGGAGGGGGTCAAAAAAGAGCAGGACATTACCCTGTTCATGAAGGTGAGATCTTGGAAAGACTTCCGCACACCACTTCCAAGAATCACCACTTTGCAGTGACAGCACCACTGTGGTCTGAGGGCCCCACTCTCTGCAATACCGTGACTGGAATCCTTATGTCCAGAAAGACCTAAAGGCAACCAGCTTCTGTTAGCAATCAACACCGACCAAGGACACGAATTAACACCGACCAAGGACACGGGGGGTGCACGGTGCAAACCTCTGCTCTATGGACTCTTTACGACAGGCTCACTAACTTACTTGGTATTACTCTCCAACTAAGAAAAATCTTAACCTCAAAGCGATGGCTATGGGGCACCTATTCTGGGACACCAGGGTACAAATAAGAAACGGGCCTATTCTCACGAGGACGGGCAAACAGCCTAGTATGAAAGACGCATCTGACAGAACCACGCCGCCAAGATCAGCCCGTGTTCAGGCCAGGTGCCAAGTGAGCCACAGGCAGAGACACGACTGCTGCTCAAGGAGCCAGATGACAGGTAAAGATGGACAGCGATGTATGTAAGAGACTAGGGAAATGGTGGCCCAGTTAAAGAGACATGGAAGAGATTCAAGGCCAAGACACAGAACACCCAGAAGGGCTGGGGGACGAGGAACCACAGGACACTCAGAGCATAGTGGTCAGGAGGGCAAGAGGCAGGGAAGGCAGGAAACGGGTGAGTGACAGGTGCGCCTTGAGGCCACCAGTCAAAACTCTAGCACAGGCAGCTTTCAGAAAGAGTTCCAAGATGACAATGGAGGAGTTACCAGATTCTAAGACGAAGGACAGAAGTAAGACTGTAAGGGGAGGAAACGGGTGAAGAAGAGGGGCCGAGACTGACAGCATCCTGGGAAGGCGCTGTGGCAGGAAGGGCAGGTGCCCCTCACGTGTCTACGGCAGGGGGGCCTGAGCACCTGCGGTGAGGGTCAGGGCTTTATGAGGTGAAGAGGAGGGTACAGGAGAACAGGAAAGCACTTGCCATGTGGGACATGAAGGCAGTGGGATAGGGATGCAGAGGGACCAAAGCCACTTAAGGGGAAGCCAGCTGCAGGCTTCTCTGGCGGCCTGCACGGACCGGACGCTGGCACCCACAGCATCCTGGGAGACGTGAGCACACGAGGTCAAATCAGACCTCAGGGACAGGACAGCCACGGGAGTTAATTTACCAAGGACTCCACACTGACCTGTGCCTGTTACTGTGTTAAAAGTTAAATGAAGTCATTTACAAAAGGCTTACTAGCTCACCATTGCTTGTTGGAGGGAATGGTATGTTAGGCTGTTTCAGTGGGTAAGAGCTCCCTCTGGGAGGGTTTGCCGATCCTGGCGGAGGCCCACGGAGAAGCAAGTGCTGCCGACACTCCAAACCTGGGTTCGCTCTGTGGCTATGAACCAGACCCACGGGTGGGACATCTGGAGCATTACTGACCTCATAGCTGTTAGGGATTCGGACGTGGAGAAGGTCGGAAAACGCAGCCACAACACTGCTAATGTTCTAGAACAAAAAGCACCATGTTACCCCCTGGCCGGGGGCGGCAGCAGCCGCAGGAGGAGAGCATACTTAGGACAAATGCTATATGATGCACACACTGCAAGGAAACCCAACCACCTTCATTCAGACCTAAAGCGTCTCAGAGAAAAAGTGTGTTTTAATGGATATTCAAATAAAGCTTTTGTAGACAGAACTCCTCACATGAGGGCTCCCGCTAATGTGAACCACCTGGGCAGACACTGACTGCTCTAGCTCTCTGAGTACCTGGCAGGTGCGGAGGACACACCCACAGGGGAGCTCCGCACCATGTCTCCCCGGCTGGTCAGAGCCCTACTGCGAGGGCTTCTGTCCAGTCTGGCCGAGAGCCTGAAGCAGTCCACGTGGACACACAAGTGGCGCCCCCTGGCTGCACGTTGTTGCCAGTCAGAAGAGCACATCCTTAGGCTACCAGTTTGGTCTCCAAGGAAACAACTTTGCACAATTCAGGGTGAAAGACAATGACATCTTTAGCAAATTATTTGTGCTTAATAAAAGTAGCTGCTACCTGAAGAACATTGCTACTGCTCCTGTGAAACTCTTATTTGACAAAATGGTCTTTTTTATTGCTTAATTTTCTAGAGTATTCCACAGTATGAAAAGGCTTTGTCTAAAGAGTTCTCAGAAGACCCACCCTTTAATGAGACCATCTGACCGCAGCTTCCCTTTCTGCCCTGACCTGATTGCAGATGGATCCAATGTTAACTGCCGTACCCAGAGCAGCTCGACTGAGAAGACTATCGGTCCTACTCTAAACCTCGACCTTTCATCCTCAATAACCCTGCTGCATGTGTTTCGCTGTAAGCCACCTGAGACATCTTTGAAAGCGACGACAGATTCTAAAAGTGAAGAAGCCGTTTCATCTTTACCTCAGCAGCTGCAGGGTGCAGGGTGATTGCTACAGATATAAGACCCGATCTGGGACCATTTGGGGATGAACCAAAAGGTGATGTGAAAAATAAAGTGCCTGGCTCAGTTTTGATATCATTTCTTCTTGATTCTGAACCTAAAAAGGGGGAAAATGGAAGGAAGGGAGAAAGAAGTATTAGCAGCCTTCCCAAATCACACACACGCCTCAGCAACTGTGGCATGTCCAGGGAGGTTGGGGCTGAGCATCTCCTTACTTTTCCCCACAGTGCTAGGAAGAATCGGGATGATGGGGGATGGCACTGGCTCCGGAGGCTCCTCTTTGACCAACGCCAGATCTGGGTACCTGCTCACTTCCGCCCCCACCACGCTCTCAGGAGAGGACGAGGGAACGAAACTGTCAGGAGTGTCCCGATCTCCACAGTGATCCTGCATCCTGAAAGAGGAACGCACGTGTGTCAGAGCACTCAGCGCAGAGCCATCACAGCGGCCTCCTGTGGCAGTCAGACACCTCCATGAGCCCCACAGCAAGGACACTCCAGGCAACAGTGGCATAAATAGCCAGTGAGTCAGTTCAGGGTCAAAGGGACACCCTCTGGGGAAAAATGTAAGAAACATATAGCTATAAAATAACGTAACCATATGTTTCCCTCTGACCAAAGCTTCAGTGTAGAAGTTTAAAGACCTGCCAAAGAGGAAAATGTTCAGACCATAACCTAGAAAGGATGAAACTAGCACTGGAAATTCCAGATCGCTGGACTACAAGAACATCCCTGTGGCCTGGCAAGCACAGGGCGAGGCCATGTGCAACAGCCATGCTGTGACGACCAGCACAGACCAGCTACCCTGCCGCTGCGCTTCTATGGCAACATGGGTCTTCGTGGCTTTGCAGGCACTGACAGCATAACGTGGAGGAAACAGAGACCAGTCCGCTCCGTCTAGTCCACGAGCCAGCTTCGACCAGGGCAGCCCTGCCATCTCAGGCTGAGCTGCAGACATCCTCGTCCCCAGAGGAGATGCCATCATGTGGCAGGAGACCCGAGAGAGGCTTCTAGACAGGGTCCTGTGGATCCAGGGTGGAGCAGAGACCTGCCTAGGTCACCAAACATGCACCCTGGGAAACTGCCACCCACATCTGCTATCAGGGGGTGCTGCTCCCTGTTACGACATTTGGGACTTCCTGGTGGGAAAGCACAGGATGAAGGAGACCTGGACTCTACATTTGAACAAGTTACTTTTCTCTTTGTCGTTAATAAAATAAGGGACACAGACTAAATGGATGTCTCATCAAATAGAAGGCAGTGAGAGGATATTCCAATGAGGGGACTGTCATTTGATTTTGTATGTAGAACTCTCTGGAGTTGGGGATGATGGTCTGTTAAGGGAACCTCACTGCCCAATGAGCAGCCTGGGCTAAAGAGTGACACAAATCTGTCAGTGACGTCTGGGTAGGACAGTCTTCAGACCCTTCTGCATACACATCCTCTGCCATTTGCAGCTGCTGCTTATTTTAGACATCTACAAACACAATAAACCCGGCAAGTCACATTAGAAGCTTAGGAAGGACAGTCGTCTTTAGATACCTCACACAGATTATTTGTTGCCTAATGTCTACTTGACTGTTAGGACTGCTTGGATTCTCTGTATCATACCATATTTTTTATGCATAAACTAATAATATTTAATAATATGACTGTCTCAAACTTTTAATTCTAAAGAATATTATTCACCGAATTTTACCTCTCAAATACTTTCGCATGTGATGCCTACAGACATTATGAATACATACACGTGTAAAAAGCTAAGAATTGAGAAAAGGGTCTTCTACCTTAGTTCTTCCTGATTGTTATGAGGTGGCGTTGGAAGGGAAGCTGGAACATCGACGGTCTTGGGACCCTGAGCAATAGCCCTGGCCAACAAGTCGTCCGGTGGTCTGAACGGCAGTGGAAACGGTTTAGGTCCTAGAGTTTTAGTAACTGGAAAAGTAAAACACAAAACCTTAAACGGCATTTAGTGGACACTGGTAAGCCGGTGAACTTTACCATGCTATTGCCACCCCCACACACAGCCGAACAAGACCCATTCCTCAAAGATGTCAACTCTGGAGGCTGTCCTCATACCTTCGTGGCTCACTAACACTCCGGCTTTCCCAGCAAGTTCTTCCGTTGTTGCAAAACCATTTGCCATCTTCTGACAAGCCATGGGAGGTGGTGTAGGAGGAAGAGAGGCAGGGGGTGTTGGAGGATTACTTAAATTATTCTGCTGCAGAAGACCAAAAAATTTTAAATTATATGCTACAGAGCAAATACGCAATGACCTTGCTAAAACTTAGTTTCGTGAATTTTTAGCACACGGAAGCAAGGTTACAGAAATGTAATCAAGATGGACCTTCATCCCCAAATGCACACCGAGAAGAAAAATACACACACAGGCCAAAAGTCTCATTTATATTTCTTAACTCTTTAAAATTTTAATTATTTTTTTTAGGTGTTATGATCCTCCTGGCCTTGGCCTTGCACATCGCTGGCCACCACGGCCAACCTTCAGGAGGAGCCGGCGTCAGACCAAGGGCCTCCTGTGGTGCCGGCAATGAGCACGGCATCTCAGCAGTGGGTCACAGTGAACGGCCCCAGAGGGCTTTTCAGTGCAACGACGCCTCATGCTTTCAGGAGCACATTTTTATCTACTACTCACTTTCACACAGCTAGAGTATTCAGCTCTGAAATGAAGAAGCTAATTTCCATTACGCCTGATTCTATTTTATGTCCCTCTTGTCAGTTTTCATAATTATAGCCAGGGAAGTTTAGCTTTAAAGTTCAACCAATAAATTGTAAAAGGGTCTCAAAAATTCCTTTATTAAAGTATCATTAGGATACACCCAAGTTTGGGTCAACAGGTGGTGTGGTGGTTAAGGCACTGGACTCTCATATGGCCAACCACGGTTTGAGTCCCAGACACCTGTTAGCTTGATAATCATGCTGGACACAGATGTGCGCGCGTGCTCCAAATCCCAAGAGAATGGAGAAGGAATTGCAGTGAGGTTATCACCTCTGGCGGGGCGTGGCGAGGGGTGGAGGGGCAGGGATTTCTCACATTCCCTCCATCTCTCTCCACTTTTCTCCAGCAAGCGCACATGCCCTATAACAAACCACCCCCTCCCGGGCCAAAATATATATATATATATATAAATATGTATATATATATATACACACACCTAAGTTCTTGGGCAAGCCCTTTAGCCTGGTGGTTAAGGGAGCTAGATCCCACATAGCTGACCACAGTTTGAATCCTGGTCTCAGTAGTTTGAAAAACACACCAGGCACATGTGCATGCACACCCCACATTCCAACAGCAAAGAAATGGAGCCAGGGCTTCAGTAGGAGGAGTGCTCTCTACCCGCAGCCCCGTCTGCTTCTCTTTGGCAAGTGCATGTACCCTCTGGCAATTAAAAACAAGAAAAAGAAATGCCCTAGTTTTATTAAAAAAAAAAAGAAAAAAGAAAAAGAAAAAGACTAAGAATGTGTGGTCCTACTGCAACTTGCACTCCAGATACTAGAATATGGATTGTCTAAGATCTCTAAAAGCGAGAGCTGCAGCACTACTACTAAAATGGCCAAATCGCTAACAAATGTTCTTCCTCTTCCAACATCTCTTCCAGATTAACATTTGTCACCAGTCGGTCAGTTACTGACCCGTCTCTCAAGGAATGCTGGGCTATCCCAACAATACCATGCAAATCAAGTGCAAAGGGGAATCACAAATCTCGCAAAGGTTAAGCAGCTCACAAAGAGGATGGAGTGTTGGTGGAGAGCAGCTTCCTCAGAAGGAAAGGCCTCTACGAGAGTCAGGCAAGTGGGAGGGAGAGCAAAGCATCAAGACACAGATGGAGCATCAAGGAGAAGGGCCTCAATAACAGGGACGGAAGAGAAGCCCTTGGGAAACCCATGCCCTCAGATACTTTTGCAAAAAAAAAAAAAAGAGTATTTTAGGAAAGTCAGATATGAATTAAAGATGTCTTATGATGCCATTATAGAAATGTGTTAGAAAAACATCATCAAAAGATAAACTCAGTTTGGTTTGATGTTATTTTAATAGTCAAGAATTAATGCATAGTTCCAAATGGTACCCCTAATGACTAGATAAAATACCTTTAAGATTTTCAATTTCATTTTCCGAGGTAAAATATTAATCGTATTTTTTTATTCTCATTATTTACCATGAATTCAGATTCATTTTAAGAGTTAAGAGACTTCAGGGAAATAAATACTTCCTCTACCTTGAAAATACATAACAACTATTTCTCACAGCTTGTATCCTTACTCTTCTGCCTCTCTCCAATGTTCATGTTAGAAATACATCAGCAAATAGGTTTTTAAACTTTCAGCTAAACTTGGGCTTTGGTGACCTTGGAAGATTGGATGTAAGCTAGATGCAGTAACTGAGACAGGGTCTGCTATGGTGTCCAAGGACGTGGCAGAGACATACCTTGTAGATCAACTGAGAATAGTAGTCCGAAACCCCTTCAAGGGTGGCACTGCCAAAAGTTCCTAGAAGTCGATTCCCACTATTAAATTGGCCACTACCATAAGGAAGAAAGTGCGCAAAGTTCACTCCAATGATTGGTTCCATTAGAGGGAGCAGAGAGAGCTGCTATTAAAAAACACATTTGAGAGTAATGTACATGATAAACAAACAAAAGTGAGTGTTTCTCAACTTCCTAAGATCCAAAGCAATTTAGTCAAATAAGGCTGGAGAAAAATAATGACTTAATACAACCTTCAAGTATCGAAATGTTGGAAGAAGTGAGAGAGACTACAGAATCTTTGAGACACTTAAAAATAAACTTTGCTCCTATCTGTCCTAAAGGTGTGTTGAAGATATCTACCATGCTTGCTCAGTGAGAACCAGGGCACAGCTGAGGCTAGGTACCACCAACGGGCACTACTAATCGTGGCCTACTCACAGGCTGCTGCCCCCCTCTGGAACCACCACGAGGTATGAAAGTAGAGCGTGCCGCGGGGAGAGCCCACTGGCTACATTTCTTTGGATCCAGTCACAGGTGATGGGGACAGAGCTGTGCTGGATCCTGAAGCTGCTCCTGCACAGCAGGGAGGCTGAGCATCACCTACCAGCCTGTCTACATTCTACGCACTGTAGGCGCCCACGAGAAAGGGGCAATTCTGTTGAGGCAGGAAGCCTAGCAGATTCCTTATGGGAATGTTTTTTATCCCTGTAACTCTCTACTCTAACTAGGAACGATACCACGATAAAGAGGAAATCTACATTTAACAGGATTTTAGGGCATGTGTGCTCACTTCCCTGGTCTTCGAAGGGGGTTATGAGGAATGACTCACCTGCTTCAGGTGGGTGAGTGTGTCAGTGTTAGAGTACATGGCTTGTTTCTCCTCTTCGTCCTTTTTCCTTTTCTTTGAGCGAGGTGCTGCTTTCTCCCCAGTCTTCTGAGTCCGTTTGCTTCGCTGTCTCTTGGTTTCAATTCCATCTGTTTTTGACAACTGGTTGTTGCCACATCCAAAACCACCTTGCATTTGAGCCCCTACTGTTTGCTAATATAATTGAAAAGGTTAAGAGATAAGTGAACTATTCACAGGTTTGATTTTTAGCCCTTGCTAATCCAGTTCACTCCCATGACTCTATTCCTAACGTGGGTACTAAAAGTTGAGGGAAGATGGACAGTGGTGTCAAATGCTCTCACTGTTCTTAGAAAATGTCATCTCTTTCTCCAAACGTCATACTCATGGTGGGAATGAGCAAGCTGCAGAGCTGGAGGAGAGGGAACTCCGAAGTACCAGGATGAAGCTGTCCCTCTCACTGACCACGCCCCTTACTCCTGCTCACAATCTGTAGGTTCCCAGAAAGTTTCCCGGCCTAAGATTTTCAGGTGAGAGAAGCGTAGCCCCGAGAGGAGGAAGGATCGGATGCTGGGCTGACAAACACTGGCTGGATGGAAGTCAGCGAGAATGAAGCTAGAGAATTCCAAAGGAAACTTGCTTTTGTTGTTAAGAAGTGAAAAATAAGGTAATCCTAAAAGGCTTCCAAGGATAGTATTATTAAAACCTAGAGATACAGGAATATTTTTCAGGCCCCATTATTCCTAAACTTAGGATCAGTATTTTGTCCTGGACAATTACTGTAACAAACTGAGCACTGAGAGTTTGAAGATGAGTTTCCAGTTATATCTTCTATGACTTGAAGTGCGGGGGAGTCTCCCACAGAGGGCTGGATGGTAGGCTGCGTGCTCACAGCCTCTGTCCTAACTACTGAGCTTGCCTTGTGCTGCAAATACGCAAGCTTGAATGTGTTCCAGCAAGCTTGAATGTGTTCCAACAAAACTTTCCAAGTTTATGGGCAAATTGTAATTTTTGTATAACTTTCGGGTGAAATATTACTCTTCAACAGATGTTTTATTTTCCCCGATCATTTAAAGTGTAACATCCATGCCTATCTCATATGAAGGGGGAAGGCTGGAGTGGACACAGACTGCCCCTTCTGAGTAGACCAATGGCTCTCGAAGGGCAGTCTCCAGAGCAGCAGCAGCACCAGCAAGTGTACTGGTGAGAAAAGCAAGTATCTCGTCCCACCCAGACCTACTGACTCAGACTCAGGGCTGGGCCCAGCAACCTGTGTTGACAAACCCTGCAGGCAACAGTCGTACGTACAACAATGCTTCTCCAACTCCCACAGATTCTGATTCCTTAGGTCTGTGGAGGGGCATGAGATTCTCATTACCTTTTAAAAAATATATCTTATTTTTCTTTAGTTTCTTTTTTTTTTCCTTCTGTAATGTATATGTACTTGCCAGAGACAGAGACAGAGAGAGAGAAAGGGGAAGTGATGAACCATCCCCCTTGGGGCGGGTGGGGGGTGGCCACGCTGCAATCACTTCTCCATTCTCCTCTCTGAATGTGGCACATGCACCTGGCGTGTTTCTTGAGCTGCCGGGTTGGGGACTCTGACTGCACACTCGGCCTGTGGAATCCAGCCCCTCCACCACCATACTAGCCATGGGCTGGTCCTGAGAGTCTCAGTTCTATAAAGCTCCTCTAGGTGATGCAGAGGATGCTGACCTCTAAGGCCTGCACTTTGAGTAGCAAGAGCTTACAGATTTCTGGCTGGCTTGGATGGGACTAGGAACGCCATCCGAGGCTAAGTACAGCGCCCCCTCCCTTTTGTCAGTGAGGGTATTTTCTAAGACCTCCAGGGAAGGCCTGAAACCTCAGAGCACAGAGTTCTATAGAAACTGCATTTTCCTACACATACAGCCCTATGATAAAGTTTAATTTATAAACCAGTCACAGTAAGAGACTAACAACAAGAATACAACAGGACAACTAAAACAATACACTGTGATAAAAGTAATATGAATGTAGAGCTATAGTCTGAATATTTCTTCCCAAAATTCAGGTGTCGAGCTATTGACACGGAATTATCAGGGTGAATCCTTGGTCCAAGTATAGTGTCAATGGAGGGGGCCTTTGGGAGATGAGGAAGGAGGCCATTAGGGCAGCCCCCATGACTGATCTCGTCGATTCATAAAGAGAAGAACGGTGACTAGGAAACACCCGCGACACAGAACTCACACTTTTTATTTTTTTGAGAGAGATTTTTGCTATAGGGCATGTGCACTCACCAGAGAGACAGGACAGAAAATGAGAAATCACCCCTCGGGGGGAGGGCCACACTGCAATCCCTTCTCCTCCATTCTCCTCTCAGGATTTTGGGCATGCACACGCGCCCGGTCTGAGTTTTAAGCTTCCAGGTCTAGGACTCAAACTGCGGTTGACTCCATAGGAGTTCAGAGATGAAACCACTATGCCATGTGCTGGCCCACAGAGCTCACACTTCTGCAATCTGCCATGTTGGGATGCAGCCAGAAGATACCCACCAGAGGGAGCCTCCAAACCGGGAGATGAATCAACCTGTACTTTTATAAATCACCCAGTCTTGGTTATGCCTGTTAGCAACAAAATAGCAGACTGAGGTGTGGTCTCTCTAAGTATCTTATTGTACTGTATTTACCTAGCTTCAAAATTGAAAAATAAAGTCTCCAAAAGTGAAAAGCAGAGTTGAAGGGGCCTACAGAGTGGTAGGTCAGGCACTTAAAGTGCTTTATGGCCAGTGTATCTAATACAGTGATTCTTACAACAATGCAACTACATTTCAATCAATAGTTATGGAAGACTACAAAAGGCGGAAACCTGCCCGAGACCCAGTTAGTATTATACTGTATGTGTTTTCCATCTTTTACTGATGCCTACATAACTCCGTTTTAAGCTGTTAAGAATCCTATACCGTGTATTTTCCATTGTGGTGACTGCTTTTATCAGCTGACATGTGGCTGTTTCCCACACCACTAAGTAACCTCATGTAGTACGAATGCGGACACAGATGCCCGAGACATGGCCCGCGCTCTAGGAGCTGTTCAACAGCACTGCAGGTGCCACGCAGGGGTAGTGGTGCGTGCCGACACCAACAAGTCTCAGGCTGGCTGAGCTGAGAAAGGTATCTAGGGAAGATGATGTCAGGACTGAGTTTTAAAAGAAAGATATTGTCTAGATCTATAAAGAAGAGAAACCAGAGTGGACAGCAGCATACGGCCGTGCACAGAAGGGTGAAAACACACACTCTTAGGACTGCAAGTCGGTCTGTCTTCCTCAGGGCACAGATGCTCTTGATGGAGCCTAGAGACTGGGCTGGCAGCTGGGTATGCTTGCTGGTGACAAATACGACTGGAAGAGTATAACCACTAACATTGATACAAAACTACAGGAACCCAGGTCAGCACACAGATCTCTACTGAACGGTCAAAGATGACACAGGGAGAGTAAGCCAAAGCTTGCAAGAAGATGAGTCTCAGTTACAACCTTAAAAATGAAAATTTCAACAACTAGCTATACCATTTCCCAACCCTATTCACTTAAAATAGAGAAACGACTAAGATCTGGTTTGACGCCTCACGAGGAAAGCTCTCCGCATGCACAGGTGGGGACACAGCTGTCTGAGAGACCAGGTGTGAGAGCTGTCAGGCAGGTCAGTCCACACATCCCAGAAACCCCAGGTTTGGAAAAAATCTTACTTAAATTATCTGAATGAAGGGGACAGATTCTTATAAAGGTCTATTTCCAATTAAGCTCTTCACACAAATGAAAAAACAAAAGCAAACCCAATGTTGATGAGTCAAATTCGGTAGACTATTGATACACAGGAAACTAAAAAGATAAAATACTTCTTACAGATAAGATTACGTTTGTGGAACATCGACACGTGTATCAACACATGGTGACACTCAGACACCTAGCATGCACTACCCCCAAAGGTCCCCAAGGACAGTAAGAGCAGTGCACGAGCGATCCTCTGTGTGTAACGAGGTGAATGGAAATGACAATAAAGGCACACGGACATTCACTTCTTTCACTTCAGTTAGATCAACTCAGAGTGGCTGGCAACCAGCTGAGCAGCACCTGGTACTTATGAAATGGATTACTACATGTCTTTGCTGTTTAAGAAAAAAAAAAAAAAAAACCAGCAAATACATGGACAATTAGTGTAGTTTACGGACAGAAGTAAAAATCATGGCTCCATGGAAGTAAAATCGACAAAATAAAAAATGACTCTTAGAGTTAAAATGTGGCAAATATTAATAGATTAAAATGAACACCACTGTTGACTGATATGCTATAAGAATAACCTAAAACAAAAGAAAAACCAGCAAGCTCTAACTCCCAGGACGCACTTACCAGTCCTTCAGCTGGGCTCTGCTTCTCCAGGGGCTTACTGTCCTTCACACAGTCCTCTTCAGCGCAGAAACTGCCTTCAGGTTTTTGGAGTAGCAGGGGGGAGGACTTTTTATTCTTCAGCAAGTGTTTCAGAAGCTCATTCCCGGAGTCGCCTTTGGCAGTAGGGGCCCCGACCAGAAGGGGAGGGCTCTGCGCCAAGGGGCCAGGATGGGTTGCGCCTTGGTCCTCGACCTTCCGGCTGCTATGTCCCTCCAGCTGAGGCTGCTCTGGGCCTGGGCAGAGCTCGGTCTCAGCCTTCTCTACCTTCACCTCTTCGACTTGGGCAGGAGTCTCCAGGGCAAGCTTGTCCCCCCCTGGATTTGCACACGCCTGCTGCTTTGGAGGTCCCTGGGAGAAGTCACTGCTGGGTGCTGTGCTTTCTGACTCTGTGCACGGCTGCCCCGCTGCCACACTGGCTGCTGACAGGCTGCCTGGTTCCGCCGACTCCTCTTCTGGCTGTGGTGGCGGCTCGCCCGGCGTGTTCACCGTGGGGGTGGAGGAGGGCTCTGAGACACTGGGAGTCAGTGGGGCGGTTATGTCCGAGTGCGGAGTGGATGGGGCCTTGGTGGACTCTGCATCATCATCTTTTTTCTTTTTTCTTGTTCTTTTCTTTTTCCCCTTTTCTTCTGGGATTATATCAGAATACAACTGAATGAGCGACTGGGCAGATCCCGAGTAACTCTGTCCATGGGTCACAGTCGGGTCCTGGCCGCACGGGAAGCTGCCGCCAGCTACTGTCAGTGCGGCTGGTAAGGCGGGTGTGAAGGGAGCCCTCACTGGGGACTGCTGGAAGCCATTCCCGGAGAGAGTCCCATGTCCCTGCTTCACAGGGTGGAAGTTTGGGCTTCCTCCAGGGACTGACGGCGAGTCGGGAACAAAGGAGGGAGGTCCCGCTGGCCTTCGCTCGCTGGACTGCACGAACGCCTGCGCTGGCGGTGAGGCAATGGACCCCTGCTGCAAGGCCTGCTGCTGTAACGCCTGCCCCACCTGCTGCTGGTGCTGTGGGGACTGCATGAAGTCACAAGGCAGGTCGGGACCGTAGAAAGGCGCCTGGGGCACGGCCGTCCGACTGCTCAGCTCTGCGCCCCCCGTGCCATGCTGCTCCAGCCCCATCCTCTGCTGCAAAGCTCTCTGTCGGTCCACCTCCTGCATGAGCTGGATGCGCTGTCTCTCCTGCTGTTCCCGTAAGCGTTCTTTCCGTTCCCGTTCTTGAAAACTTTCACTGAAGGGGTTGTTGTCATCAAACTCTACTCGTGGAGGTGGCCCACTCTGAGGATTTGCATTCGACACCGTCCCTGGGGCTGCTGGGCACGGTTTCATTGGTAATTGGGCCATCGGGGGCTGAATCCGGGGAGGGTTGAGGGCGAGGTGAGCACTGGCAGGTTGCCATCCGGGTAAACCGGGCATTCTCACAGGGCTGGTGTGGCCAGGAAGGACTGTGGGGTGCTGCTGGTGCTGAAGCTGCTGGGGCACCATGGGAAAGCTGGGCTGGCTCAGGGGGGGTGGAGCGACACTGGGAACCAGGGGCGGCTGGGGCTGGACGCCAGGCATCAGGGTGGGCGGGGCCATTGCACACTGCTGCTGCTGCTTGATCCGATAATCCTCAATCAACTCGGCATGTTCTTTCTGCTGTTTACGAATCTGGAATGAAACAGGCCATTACTCATTTACATAGAATATAGTTACCAAATAAAACATGGTCTGATGATACTGGGAGGGTTTGATTCAGAAGGCAGTTAGACTTGCAGAGGCACGAATACTTGGCTTAGGCAATGGCAAAAATCACTAAAACGTGCCTTGAGAGACCTTAACTAAAGACTGCCAATTTTTTTTTTTTTGAGAGTTTTTTTTCGCTATAGGGCGCGTGCACTCGCCAGACAGACAGAGAGAGACAGAGAGACAGAAAGCGAGAAATCACCCCCCAGAGAGGATGGTCACACCGCAATCCCTTTTCCTCCATTCTCCTCTCGGGATCTTGGGCACGCACGCACACATGCCCGGCGTGAGTTTTAAGCCACCGGGTCCAGGATGCGAACCACGGTCGACTACGTGGGAGTCCAGTGACATAGCCATTACGCTAACTGCTGGTCCCAGGACTGCCAATGTTTTTAACAACAGGATTTTTCCAAAGTTATCTGTGAAAGGTCTTCACGTATGAAATACTTAAGACAAGTTCCAAGATAATTTTCTGAATTAAGTAATAAGAAAACTCTTACTGGGCAAGTCATATAACTACTTAAACTAGACACTGAAACGGGAAGACAGTATACAAGCAACACAGGAGCAGGTGTAACTGAGATGCCTTAGAAGTCACATTAAACAAGTTACAATAAATGTCAGATTTAACTCAAAGGTTAACCACTTAAACTGGTTAAGATTTCATTTCTTAAATACACAAGGCTGCACATTTTAAATCAAGACGATTTCTAGCACCTACAGCATTAGCATACTCCCTTCTCCACAGGTTAACACTAGATGACTGAGTAATACTAGTTAATTCATTCCAAAAACCTCTGTGTCCCGGCGTGCTTGACAGTCCAGTCAAACACAGCCAAGATGTCCTGCAGACCTCATCCACTCACTCAGGGAGGTGGAGAATGAAAAGATGCCAAATGACGTGCATATCTTTCAAAATCACCCAATTTTTCTGGATAGATATCCGAACACTATAGTTCTAATAGTCTTCCAACTATAATTCTAATACTTTTCCAACCAGTTTTCTTGGGCTTCCCAGGCATGCTAACATATTTTCTGCAAATAGTAGCATCTGGTCTCTTCTCCAGTAACTTAACTATTTTTTCTTATCTTTCCAGACTGGGTGACTAGTTGGGACTGTGACTGTTCGATGCCACTGGACTGGTATTGTACGAGTGAATGTACATAAAGCACCCAACGCCGTGTCAGGAATGAGAACCGTTCACCCTGCCTTTCCCAGGATACTTACAAATACTTCCAAACATGATCAGCTACTTATCTTAATGCGATCACACTGCATCACTGGCAAGTATGTCATAATGGATGACGTGTCCATTTTTAAGAATGTCTTCTGCTTTAACTTATTATTTACCATCATTATTATTATTTTCCAATTATGACAAGAGAGAGAGAGATAAAGACACAGAGAGAGAGAGAGACAAAATGAAAAAGGAAGCCACCAGGTCTAGGCTTGAGCCACAGCTGGCCATAGGGGAGGTGCAGGAAAAGTGCTAAAGATACTTTATTAGAAGTATCTATTTTTAAAACAATATCTACCTGCACTAAACATGGCCCCAGAGAGGGACTCTAAAAAAACCTCTTGGGGTCAGCAGATGGTACAGTGGTAATGTCGCTGGACTCCCACACAGCCAACCGTGGCTGGAGTCCTGGACCTGGTGGCTTAAAACCCATGCTGAGCACGTGTGCATGCATGTCGAAAATCCCGGGAGGAGGATGGAGGAAAGGGGATTGCAGCATGGATACCCCTCCCGGGGGATGATTTTTCACTTTCCCTCTCACTGTCTTTGTCTCCCTCTCTCTGGCAAACACACGTGTCTTAAGGGAAAAATCTCTTTAAAAAAATAAACAAACCTCCGGGGACCAGCAGGTGGTGTGGTGGTTGGGGTGCTAGACACTCCCACATTGCCGACCACAGTTCGAGTACTGGACCTGGTGGCTTGCTTTCCCACTTTTTCTCTCTCTCTCTGGTCAAAATAAAATAAAGGAATGAATAAATAAAATTAAATAAATAATTCTTTAAAAAATATAAACAAACTTCTTGGTCTGTAATAGTCTTAGTTTTCAACAACAGAAACATTGTAACCATCTTATTCTGGTACATGGCTGTGGTAGCTATGCTAGAAGATAAAACAGCTGAGTCCAAACCCCTAATCCCATTGTTAGCTGAAAGCGAACATGTCTCCTAAGCTCTCCGATGGCTCACCAGTTTCTTCATTTGTAAAATGGTCACTAAACAGTAACTCTTTCAGAAATGGCAGATAAGGTTACACATGAAGCACTCAAATTTTTATTGTATCAATTTAGTCGGAACTACCCCCCCACCCACTTCTAGTATTATCATTTGGGTTTCTTTCAATTTTACTTTACAAGTTAAAATTGAGAATTGAAGGCAAAGTTTACTCTTTGGGAGTACTACTCCAAGAACTTTAATGTGTGTAGAGATTGGCATAGCAACTGTCACAATCAAGACACAGAAGAGTTCTATTACCTCAAAAACTCCCTCATGCTACTACCTCTTTGTAGTCAACCCCTTCCCCCACCTTCCTATGTTCAACTTTATAATTTTGTTATTTCATAAGAGAAATAACAAATGGATTATATACCCATTTCATCTGTGTTGGATATAGAATCTTTCGAGATTGGCTTCTTTCATATAGCACAGAAGTCTTGAGATCCAAGTTGTTGCACATGTCAATAGTTCGTTCTTTTCTATCGCTATGTAGTATTCCATTGTATGGATATACCACAGTTTATTTAACCATTCACCATTACAGTTTTTGGTGACCATGAACAGAGCTGCCGCAAACATTCACATACAGCTTCTGTGTGAGTCAGTTTTTCATTCACTTGAGTAAGTACCTAGGAGTGGGCTCTGAATCCATTTTGAACATTATTATTATTTTAAATAAAAACTTAAAGGCTATTTCTTTATTTCTTTTTCAATATTATTATTCAGTTTGAACATTTTTTAAAAAGATGTATTTTAATTGTAGTTATTATTTTTAAATTTGCTATAGGGCACACATGCTCACCAGAGAGAGAGAGAGAGAGAGAGAGGAGAACCAGCAGTGAGCGTAATGGCTATGTCGCTGGACTCCCACGTAGTTGACCGCGGTTTGCGTCCTGGACCCGGTGGCTTAAAACTCACGCCGGGCGCGTATGCGTGCGTTCCCAAGATCCCGAGAGGAGAATGGAGGAGAAGGGATTGCGGCGTGACCATCCCCTCTGGGGGGTGATTTCTCGCTTTCTGTCTCTATGTCTCTCTCTGTCTGTCTGGCAAGCACACACACCCTATAGCAAAAACCTCTCTAAAAAAAAAAAACAAAAAAAACCAGAGAGAGAGAAGGAGAAAGCCACCAGGTCCGGGACTTGAACCATAGTTGGCAATGTGGGAGAGTCCAGCACCCTTAACCACCACACCACCTGCTGGCCCCTAGTTTGAGCATTTTGAGAAATATCTGGTAAGTAATGAAAAATAACAGTTCCATTTTTCAGAAATGAGTCTTTTATGTAATATCTATCAATGTATTAAAAGACCAAAATACTAAAAAATAATAAAAACATATCATGAAAAAGAACTACTATAATGATTCAAATGCTCTATTCGAAATTCACTAGAAACCAAAACAGAAGTCAACTCCTGGGTTCCCAATTCTTCCCACGTAAATCCAGGCCTCACCCTAACCCTAACCCTGTAAGCCTGGTCCTCAGGGAAGCAAGACTTTCACATGATGTGAGAATATGATTTTAGAATAATTTTTTTAGTGCAGAAGAAATGTTTTCAACCATACCAGGATTGCTGAAGAAAATGAAAACAGTTCTTCAGTGTCGTTTATGAAATTCACGCTCTGCCTTCCATTTAAGGCAAGACTGGGGCTATAAGTTAGTTATTAAGACGTGTCGGGGTTGTCACCTTTTAGCAGCACACTTCTACATGCCATCCCCAAATCCTGTATCATTAATGAATGACACAGCAAACATTCTACTCACTAGTAACTGTAGGGTTTCTGTTTGTAAATCTGTTGTTACCTGCTCTAGCTGTTTCTGGACCATGCTCTGCTGTTCGGTTACATGCTTTAGTTGTTCTGCATCCTCTTCTGGAAACTCGCGGCCAGCTTTCTTGGCAGTGCGTTGTTTAGCTGAAAGGGCCTTCTTAGATTTTCTGTGTGCACCAATCTGTTCTTCAAGGTATTTCTGCTGCATCTGAAGCAGCTGTTGGGTCTCCTGGAGCCATTCTTCATACTGCTTACGTTGGGAATCATCTGAGGGAGAAATTCAAAATTCATCTGTGTTATTTTTCTAAAGGGTCCAACACTGCAAAGTTACACAAATACATTCTGTAAGTAAATAAAAATTTCACCATAACCATTTAATATAAAATTTGAAAATGCAATACTAAAAGTTAGAGCAATTATGCAACTGTAAAGAACAGATTTTAGACAAATACTTAATTGAGAAATCTAGAGAATGTTTATTCCTAGGGTACTAGTTAGCATAGTATTTATAAATATTACAAATGTAATCTTAGAAAAGTTGAAACTTTTATCTAATGAGATGCTTCTAGCTACTGGATTATCAAATTCTCCATCCCACAAGTCAAACCATGTACAAAGTTATACGAGCGTTTTATTAATTCCTTTTTACAGATTCTGAAGCAACTGTGTAAGCTCTAACCCATTCTGTCCAGAGCATGGATTAGGGGACCCTTTTCCATGCCGGTTTTCCCTAGTTTGTAACATTTTCTCTATTTCTTAGTTGTAAAAAAAAAAAATGTTCTAAACAGAGAGGGAAGGAAACAGAATGTTTTTTTAGAAAAGATTATTCTGAAATCTATGTTTCATGAAGAACATTTCTAAGTTGAAAACATTGGCAATTCTTGTTGATTTAGTAACTTATACATCTATAAATAGGCAAGGGGAGGGAGCAGTTAACCAGGCCAAATCTTCTCTACTTCTGCGACTGCCATTAGTCATCTCCCCAGATGGTTTCATCTCTGCATCGCACACCGATATTCCCCTCTAATTTATTCGGCAAGGGCACTTTACTTCATTGAGGCCAAGTCAAAAAAATTAAAAGTAAAAAAAAATAAAATAAGGGCAATCTCATGTAGTAAAATTCTGATTATACCTTTTTGATTCACCCTAAGACAAAGAAATGAATAAATACAATTCCGATAAGGACATTAGCTAAAAATAACATCAATAATAACAGAGTATTGTTGCACATTAAGAATCCAACCAAAGCCAATGGGCACAATAAAGCCAGAAAAAGCCAGTTGGTTATAGGAGTTTACTTGTTTTTAATGCAAATATGTATTCAAATTACAATCATAATTAATGCAGGGGAAATTTCAAAAGGTCAGACTTTGGGTTTGTTCCTAAACCCAGAAGTTCCAGCACATGTATGAACTTGAATTCTAGTCTACTAAATTTGATGGGCATTTTTCAAGAACAGGCTTTTTCACAAGATTTCAGAAGTTCTGCTTCTGGTAGAATGAGACCTACCGCAAGGAAAGCCTTTCTGGTTTCTGGAACCAGGAGAGCAGAGGTGAGCAAAATGAAAGATAACGGTGAAAAAAGTTAGCTAAACAGTCTGAAGATTTCAGAAAGGTTCAGTTGGGGAGAACTTTACTATCCTGAACCACCTTGGGACCCCTGACGGTATCTAGAAAGGGGTGAGTGGCACTCTGCACACTTGACCTTCACGCCATGCTGCTAACCCGACTTAATGCTCAGCTTATTCACTCCCTTTGCTTTCCCATTTGGTGTCCTTGTCGCTGAGGCAGACAGTCTTGAGAGTAAAAAGTGGTTTAACTCTATAGATTGTAAAGTGCCCGATCTATAAACAAAAACAGTAACAACGATATTGAAGAGAAAGGGGAAGATGATGTTTCTGTATTAAAATACTTATTTTTAAGTCTTCATGCACAGCAGGAGGGGGAAGCAATGAAAATACATGCCTTCGAGGAAAGACGCCTAGTAGGGCAGTGATGTTCGATAAGGGCACTTAGGCATAAAATAGCACACCTAAACTAACTCCGAGTGTTCAGAACAAGACAAATATAGTGCAAACAAGCAACCCCAGAAAACATAGACTTATTAGATTTATACTTACTCACAAAGCCTGGACCAAAATTTGGAGGATTAGGCCTAGAAATCTGATGTGTTATACTGCCATCCTAAAATAAGTAAAATTTACAAATATGTTTATTCCACACTTCATTTAGAGGAGGGGAAAAACTTTTAAAAGAAGAAAAAAAAAGAAAAAGAAATAGAAGAGGGAAATCTTTCATTTCCTAATACATCTCTGAAGTTTCGATCTTTTAAAAAATCAGAATGAATTTAGTGGTGACAGCCCAATTCTGACAATTTTTTACCATCTCTGAACTATTACACTTTCTAGATTTTAGCTGAAAAACTATTACATTGGAGGCGAAAGATTCGTCAGAAACATGTCAGAGAAAATCAAATGCCACTAGTACACAGCTCGAAAGCCACACAAAATCTCGCTGGTTGATGATGTCCACCTTGATTCTTCTCTAATGAGCCTTACAAATGCAGGCTGCAGAAGCGCAGAATGCCACACCACAGCAAGGCTGCCACTAACACGAACTAGTGTCTCTAACACACACGATGAAAGAAAAATACACCACTTAAAAATATTAGCCTTATTTCCTATTAAATGTCTTGTTTCTTCCAGGGTGACTAAGTAAATAGTTATTAATCTCACAATTCCCTGAAAAGAGCCTGATAAATATTATGAAATTATTTCCAAAAAACTTTTTACCCATTATCACAACTTCTTTGTAATAATTATAAATAATACTAGTAGCCAGAATATGGTATGTAAAATCTTCATAACACTATAAAATGGTATAAAATATGACACATCAGAAAATAGAGGTTAAAGAACTTGTCCAAAGTTGAAGAGTGGAACTGAGTTTTGTTTTTTTTTTTAAACTCAGCAATAAACTCTGTGCTTTTCCCTGTATTTTGTTTTTTAAGAGGTTTTTGCCTTAGGGCGTGTGTACTCAACAAGGAGAGAGACAGAGACAATAAGAGAGAAAGCGAGAAATCATCCCCTATGGGGATGGCACACATAATCCCATCTCCTCCAGTTTCCTCCCAGGATCTTGGGCATGCAGGCACACGCACCTGGTGTGACTTTCAAGCCACCAAGTCCAGGGTTCGGACTGCAGTGGGCAATGTGGGAGTCCAGTCATGTAGTCGCTATGCCATCTGCTGCCCTCCCCACTCTGAATTGCCAGGGAGCGTATGTATAGGCCATGGAGAAGCAGATTTAGGGAAGCAGGAAGTTCCTCGTGTGCAGCCCTTCTCCACTCTCCTAGTGTGTTGGGATTTGGGCACACACATACACATGCCTAGTGTAATTTTCAAGCTGACAGGGCCAAGATTTAATTCTGGCCAGAGGACAAGAGGGATCTAGTTCACTTAACCACAGTCTAAGTCTATGCCTTTTCTTTTCTTTCTTTCTTTTTTTTTTTTTTTAATTTGCTATAGGACACATGAGCTTGTCAGAGACAGACATGGAAAGTGAGAAAGCACACCTTCCCAGGATAGATATCACACTGCATTTCCTTCTCTTCTGCTTTTCTCTTGGGATTTTGGGCACACATGCACACACACCTGGAATGTTCTTCAAACTGCAAAGTCCAGTACTCCAACTATACTGTCAGTCATATGAAACCTAGGCCCCTTAACCACTATGCCACGGGCTGGCCCTGCCTTTTCAGTCATTATCAAATGGAGTCTCTTATTTGAATAATGAAAAAGTCATATGGTAGGTAGGTCTCATTTTCCTAGGCAAGTACATTTTAAAAGAAAATCGCTGGGGACCAGCAGGTGGTGCAATGGCTATGTCGCTGGACTCCCATGTAGTCGACCACAGTTCGAGTCCCAGACTTGGTGGCTTAAACTCACGTTGGGGCGTGTGTGCATGTGTGCTCATCCCCCCTGGGGGGTGATTTCTAGCTTTCTATCTCTCTGTCTTTCTGGCAAGCACATGTGTCCTATAGCAAAAACCTCTCCCCCCCCCAAAAAAAAAATAAATAAATCACTGAAAAAAAAAATCCTCTACGAAACAAACAGCTCTATTTCCCCAGACTGCTTGACAGTAAGAATACATCACACAGATTCACTCTCAGGAGCCAGGGGTTGATGGCAGAGGTGCGGTGGTGACATGACTGGACCCGCATGGCGCGAGTGTGTGCTCATGATTCAGGGCAGCCGAGATTGGAGTGGATCACGGTGAGAAGACCCTGCTGGTGCCTCTCTCTCTCTCTCTCAAGATAAAGAAACTAAAAATAAATAAGTACTCCCTCTCTTTCGCATTTACACGCTCTTACATTTAAAGATAATTATCATAAACGATGAATATTCAAATAACTAAATCATTCCAAGGAACAAACAGAACACAACTCTGTGGGGCCAGCAGGCAGTGTGGAAGTTAAGGCGCTGGATCCCACAGAGCTGACTACATGGATTGAGTCCCAGACCCGGCAGCTTGAAAATCATGTTGGGTGTGTGTGCGTGCATGCCCCAAATTCAGACTGTGGACTAGAAGAGAAGGGGTGGTGACATGGCCCCAGGGGGTGTTGATTTCTCACTTCTCCCCTCCTTCTGTCTCTCTCTGGCAAGCACATGTGCCCAACAGCAAAACTTTAAGAAAAAAAAGGCAGGGGAGGGGACTGTAGGTGGCGTAGTGGTTAAGGCCCTGGACTCCCACATGGTTGGCCATGGTTCAAGTCCCAGACCTGGTGGCTTGAAAATCATGCTAGCATGTGTACATATGTGTCCAAAATCCTGACAGGAAAATGGAGAAACGACTGTGGTGTGGTCATCCCTCCTGGGGGGTGATTTCTCACTTTGCCTCTCACTGCCTCTCCCTCTCTGGCAAGCGCATGCACCCTACCCTATGGCAAAAACAAAAACAAAAACAAAAAACAAAACAAACAAAAAAAACACCACAAAAACCTATATCTAAACAGAATGATTATAATAATTTTCTACTGTGTACAGCAGCTTTATACTTTATAGTGAACTGATTCCAAAATACAAACCATGAAAGCATATTCGGAGAGTAGAAAATAAAGGGATGAATGTAAAACCAGACCCTAAGAATCTGGTTTCCCTCTGAGAGACTTTCCGTCCCTAGGTTGTAGGTCCTCCTGAGAAGTAACGATCGCTTTAACTTTCTCTTCAGAAATTTGTCAATCTTTTTAACCTTAATTTGTTTTTTTTGTTTAAAAACTAATGAAACATTTCATCTTAATTTCTGCCGCATCAACAATATGTTTTGGCAAGACTCTAAGGTTCCTACTACTTCCTAGAAAGGGGCTCACTGTCAACAGGTCAGCTGAGAACACGGGGGAACCGGGGAACCGTGCATTCCAGAGTGATGAGCGACAAGTGGCGTTACCTGAGGAATGGCCTGTGGAATGCGACTCTGGCCTTCAGTCTGCGCCCCAGCTACCGACTGGCCCATGAAGGGGAACCTGCGGAAAGGAAGCACTACGTATCAAATGATCGGTTTGAGAAACGAGTTCTGTAAGCACTTCATTTACTCCTCCAAGAAGAGCAGAGAAGCAGCAGCGTGATCCTTGCCAAACGCACTCACCAAGCCCTGTGCACCAGGCATCCAACAGTCTGCGCTGAGGCGCGCCACCTGACACTCTCACAGACCCCAGGGGATAGGATTCAGGGAGACTCAGCTGAGGCACGCCACCTGACACTCTCACAGATCCCAGGGGATAGGATTCAGGGAGACTCAGTAATGTTCCCAGCGAGGGCGAGTGAGGCTGGGCAGGGAGCCGGGGTGACCCAGAGGTCTTACTCTGTCACCTCATGTACCTTACAATAAAACAGATTCAAGCCTTCAGGACAAAAATATTGAGAAGGTTTAGTTTTAGTATCTGAACTTTAAGAAAATTTCTTCTGCCTATCTTAATTAAACATTATATAGCTACTTTGTATTAAAAACAAAAGCTGTAGCTCCATCAAGAAGTTTTATACATTTCTACACCAAATATTAAAGCAAACTGAAAATTGGGGACTAACCAAGAAAAATATATCTGGCTAAAAATACTTGGCAAAATGCTACATATTCTAATTAAAGCTATAAAAACTTCACAGAGCATTATTACTAGTATAAAAACATTTTCTCTACGTTACTAATGTTTTAACATATGATACATGCACAACACAACTTTCAAAATATATTACAAATGTTGCACTAATAATTAAAAACTACAGGGTGAGTATTCCTAATCCAAAAATCTGAAATCTCAAGTCTTCCAAAATATGAATGCTTTGGGTGCCAACATGATGCCACAAGTGAAAAACTCCACACACGACCTTATATAATGGGGAGAGGGTACAGTCAAAATGCTGCAATTTAAAACTACTGTATAAAATTACCTTTGGGCTGTGTAAAATGTGTACATGAAACGTATGTGAATTTCACGTTTAGTCCTGGGCCTATTCACAAGCTATCTCATTATGAATGTGAAAATATCCTGAAACTGAAATGAAAACCTGAACTCTAAAATACTTCTAGTCCTAAGGATTTCAGATAAGAGATATTCAACTTTTATTAGAATATACATGTTTTGATTTTTCACTTGGTTTTTTGATTCATTTATCACCCCTCCCCCAGCTACAGCTGAAATCACCTCTTAATTCAGACACCACTCACTGTCTGTCTCCCAGCTCAACCCATACTTCACCGAGGACCTATCATTTCCACTCCTAACCGCTCGCAGAAGATTGAACAACCGCCTGATGTGTAACACATCAGCATTTATGTGAGTGTGTCTGTGTATGACGCTCAGGGAGATTCAGAGGTTGGAAAATTTCTAACTGTAGGTCTAGCTTTTATATTAAGTGCTAATAAAATGGAGCACTTCCCTCTATTTTAACTGTGGTGAACCAGGAATATCAGTGGCACCGTGACGGTCACTGGGAGAAGACAGATTATCAAGTGCTGCAAGTCATAGCATCCTTAGTCTGAAGTTGTGGTAGCTACTAGACTTAATGTTAACTTTGTTAATGTATCAAGAAGCACACAGCACACAGTTAATTATATGTATGCATTATGTATAAATATATAAATACATACTGCCCCACACACATACATATTTTAATTTGCCCGAGGGTGCATGCACTTGCAAAAGAGAGAGAGAGACAGAGAAAGTGAGAAAGCACTCCCCATGAGGAATGGCCATGCCATAAACCCTTTCTTCCATTTCTCCCTCTTGTCATGATTCTGGGGATGCATGCACAGGCACCCAGCATGTTTTTCAAGCTGCCGGATCTGGGAATCAAACCACGTGGGTCAGCCATGAGGGATCAAGCCACCTTAACCACCAGGCCATGGACTAGTCTTTAATTATATTTTAATAAATTTATCAAGTATAATTCATTTCCTTTGTAATATTACATTTCTGGTTCTGCATATAAATATTCTGATAAGAATCTTAAAGCCTTAATTGAATGCCAAAAAGGTTCAAGATATAAAAATATTAAAAACCCCTATGAGAGAAATAGTATTAATAAATGCTGCTCAATAATGAAAATCATTAGAAACCACTGTCTCTCCTTTGATCTCAAAAATGCTCTTAACTATGTCTAAAATATTTCAACAACTGAAAAGAACTATACCCTTAAGGATTCCAATTTCTTTGAAGTATCACATGTATCTTAAATTCATGCAGATATTATATTCAATTCCATAATCACTCAGGTGCCTTTTTAAAGGAAAAGTTCTCAGATAATTAGGCTGAACTAAAGCTCTACACGCCCTAATGTCACAGGCATACAAACAGCAACAAGTGAAGGGGTATCAGAAACTTCATGGAAAACTCATATCATAAAAAAACAAACAGACAAAACTACCCATGGATTTCCAAAAAATTTTTGTACCAAAATAAATTCATACTAACTTGGTATAACATGGACAGAATCTAGTTTGAGGCATTAAGAGGGATAATACATCAATCTGAAAAGAACCCTTATCAGAGTGACATGAGTTCTACTAAAATGGAATCAAGGACAAACATCAGGTTTATGGTGAAACTTGGGTGGAAGAATGGTGAAATCACTGATGCTTTATGAAATGTTTATGGGACAATGCCCCAAAGAAATCAGCAGTTTATATACAAATAACTATTTTTAAAAGGGACTGGCATCAATCTGTAAGGGAAAAATCAATCCTGCTCACATCCTAAAGGGAGGGGACGTGAGCCAACACACCACCAAACACCAGGAACACCTCGACTGGCTCAGCTTACATCATCTGACCCCAAATTAAAGGTGAGTGAGTTTTCTGCTCAATGGGTACCAATGCTGCTATGCCCGGATCAGACAAAAAGAGCAGACATTTCAGTGGAAATTTTAAACAAGTGGGATCAACATCCTGAGCATTTCTTTGAAGAATTGTAGGAGGGAACCAGCAGTTAGCATAATGGCTATGTCGCTGGACTCCCACGTAGTCGACCGTGGTTCGTGTCCCGGACCCGGTGGCTTAAAACTCACGCCGAGCGCGTGTGCGTGCATGCCCAAGATCCCGAGAGGAGAGTGGAGGAGAAGGGATTGCGGCGTGACCATCCCCCCTGGGGGGTGATTTCTCGCTTTCTGTCTCTATGTCTCTCTCTCTCTGTCTGTCTGGCGAGCGCACGCGCCCTACAGTGAAAATCTCTCCAAAAAAAAAAAAAAAATTGTAGGAGTGGACATGTGGCTCTACCAGCAGGATCCTGAAGGCAAAGCTCAATCAAAGCAGTGGCTACCAAGAGGTGGAAGTGATCCCGTCAAACCCAAAGTGGAAGGTCAGGAGAAAAGGTCATGGTGACAGTTTTGAGAGCTGCTCAGGGCATCTCACTTGTTGACTTCCTGAATGGTCACGGAATGGTAATATCTACTTATCCTGAAGGTGTCTGGAGAAAGTTAGCTGAAAGCTTTGGCAGGAAAACCTCACCAGAGGGCCCTTCTCCACCATGACAGTGCTCCTGCCCGTCCATCTCACCCAGCAAGGGCATCTGTGCTCAGGCTCTGACGGGAAGCACAAGGCATCCCTGTACACTCCTACCTTGCTCCTCTTCCCCCCAGTCTTACACAAAACAAAACAAAAACGTTATAAGGCACTTATTGGGACCAGAAGATAGGGTAATGTCTACGCTGCTGGACTCCCATGTGGGCAACCACGGTTCTGGCCCCAGTGGCTTAAAACTCACGTGGGGCGTGTGTGCCCAAAATCCCAAGAGGAGAACAGAGAAGGGATTGCAGAGTGGTCACACACACCCCCCGGGGGGGTGGGGGTGGGGGGGGCTAATTTCTTGCTTTCTATTTCCATTTCTCTTTCTCTCTCTCCAGCAAGCACACATGCCCTAGAGGAAAAATCTCTTTTAAAAAAGCTCAAAGAAACTTATTTTTCCTCAGTTCATAATATAGAAAAGATTGTATGACAGATTAAATTCCCAGGATCCTCAGTTCTTTAGGGATGGTACAAATGACTGATACAACACTGTATAAAGGGTCTTGAACTTGGAAGTTTATGTTGAAAAGGAAAGGTTATATTTCTCATTATTATCTTTTAATTCCTTTTTCCACAAACTTTTTGAAGTATATTCAGAGTAGAAAACTGGAATTATAGTATGAGTTTATTCTGGGCCAATAAAACTGGAAATGTATGGATTGATTTTTCTTGATACACATTTTCTATCAACTTTTTGAAGCACTCGCAAATGTTTACCCACCCTGAAATAAATGGAAATAAATTCCTTACTTTGATATAGCATTTTGCATCTGGTGACACCCAGACAACATAACCACCCATGTAAGTATTTATCATTCGTTCCTAGAACACAGGTTTTTGAATTTTTGTATGCTTCCTTCTAGGACTAGTAACGGTCTCTTGCACAGTTGGGGCCCAGCAAGGACACGCACCACCCCACCTACCTGCTCATCACCATTGGCGGCATGCCCAGGTTGTTTTGAGCCATCACTTTATTAATGCCTTTGAGGGCCACCATTTTGGCCTTCATTATAGGATCTGTAATTGCATCAAAATCTAAAGAAGAAATATATTTTAAAGTTACTTATTTCATAGCATTTGTCCAAGGTACATTAATAGGTAATGTAAGTAGCACAAACATTATGTAATTAATGACTCTTAACACCTTATAACTTATTAATTATTCTGGGTTTCTATACTAAATAAGGAATTAGGAGTGGTAATAGCTTTAGCCTGAATTTAATTCTATCTCAATGACCTGTACGTGATGTTCGCTCTAATACCTGACCCTGCAGGAATGAGAACAAGGAGTCTGCCCAGTTTTAGGGAGACTACAGCAATGACCCAAATCAATGCAATTCCTTTCATTCAAACTTTTACAATTCTGATCAGAATAGTTCTTTAGTGATATAACACATGAGTGCAAAGTTGCAGTTATTTTCCACACAAGAAATCCCCATGAATTAGTTCTCTCTCTAGAAAAGTGAAAATAGTGGGGGCCAGCAGATAGCGTGGTGGTTAAGGCACTGGACTGTCACACAGCCAACTGTGGTTCATGTCCCAGACCCGGTGGCTTGAAAATCATGCCAGGCGCATGTGCATGTGTGCCCAAAATCCCACAAGGAGAATGGAGGAGAAGGGATTGCGGCATGGCCATCCTTCCTACGGTGTGATTTCTCACTTTCCCGCTTTCCGTCTCACTCTGCTGAGTGTACAAGCCCTGTAACAAAAACCTTTAAAAAATTAATTAAAGAGTAAACTGTACTAATTTCTTGAAGGATTACCCTCACAATAAGGAGAGACTACTGAGAAAAGACTTCTTTGCATACCAATGAATAAAAGGGAACAATGTGATGGAAACTGTTAACTTCTACGGGATAGAACATCAAGTATATTTTACTGTTTAAAAGAAATCTTTCCTCAGTATGTGCCCAATGACTGCTAATTCTTGTTCTTAAGAGTCATTTTGACATTGCTTTTGTTGTTTCAGGTTTTTTGTTTTGTTTTGTTTTTTAATTAGTAAGCCACTGGAAATAAGTTTAAGATGCTTTTATGGCAAAGTTGAAAAAAAATAAAATTGTCAAGCATCTGTTTTACGCAAAAGGACAGTGAGAAGCTTTACTTATTTCTATACTTTTCTTAAATTTATATTTCCATGCCTCTACAACACATGGCAACAATGGTTGGGAGGCAGACACTAAAAAGATTCCAGAACAACAACATGAATAATGAATTGCATGAGATCTGCAACTCATAGCTTTGAATCTCTTCATGTACTCAAAAGGAATCTAAACTTCTAAATTGCTTTCCTTGCAATGCCACCATAATACCCGCAATAATACATGAGACTCAAGGGAATTCCTACCAATGTTAGGGAAGAACGGTTCTGATCGCTGACGAATCATGGCTTGCATCTGTCTCTGCTGTTGCTGTTCTTGCCTCTCTTGGTCCAAAAGATCCTGCAGAAGTAGAGGCTGCTCCTCTAAAAGGAGGGGCCTCTCTCTATTCTGTTGGGTTAATGTTTGAGGAATCATGAGTTGTTGGGGTCCAGACATGGCACCGGTACCGGACTGGCTTGCTAGAGACATAGTCTGATTTGTAGGTTTTCCTGTCCCCAAATTGTGGTTAACTGTTGACTGACCCTGACTGAATCCAGGATTTACCTGCATGCCCTGAGAAAAAGCATGGTTTACCCTAGAGACCACCGTTACGTTAGCATTCATGGTATTATCCAAAACATGGCCGGGTGGTGCCATTAAACTAGGAGGCAAACTTGACACGTGGCTGGATGGTGAGGCTGGCACAGTTGATGGTGAAGACCCCAATGGTCTAAGGTCTGAATTATCAGATTTTTCATTAGCAAGTAAACTTGAGAGGACTGGAGTTGATCCAGTTATGCCACACGAGTTCATAACATCTTGAGCAGGCAGCTGGGTGGATCCTTGGATGACACTTGTGCTGGTGCCAGCATTTTCTTGATTAGCTCTCTTCTCAACTAGATCTGGGTCACAAGGCTCCAGAGAGGTCTTTTCTCCATCATTAAGGTCTGTGTGGGTGGAAGTCTTTGAGCAGGGGGTGCCAACATCATCTTTACCCTCATCGCTTTTCTCATTTTCACATTTACTTTCCTCTTTAGAATTTGGAGACAGTGCTTCTGTTTTTATCTCACTGCTAACTGTGGATTTTTTTTGTGGTGAATGTTTACTAGAAAGAACCAGAGTTTTGTCTTCTTGCTCCTTTTTTTTGGGTTCAACAGATACACACTGATTATCTAACTTATCATCAATTGGAACACTAAGGTCGAGTTCCTCATTAAACATGCTCTTCTTGTCCCCTAGGTCATGTTCCGGGTCTGTGTATGCAATGATGTCAAACTCTCCTGACCTCAAGAGGTCATCCAGGTTCGGATCATTAGTTTCCAAATTATCTAAAGTATCTAATTCATCTCCCTTGCCATCTTCTGTATCTAAATTCAAATTTTCAAGATCTTCATCATCCAAGTCTTTGACTTCAACCCCTTCAAGGTCTTTAACATCCAATTCTTTCACAGAATGATCATCAGAATCAAGTTTTTCTTCCAAACCATCAGAAGACTGGCTGCTTAACTGTAAATTATCAGATGCTGCTTCGGCTGGTACAGATGTTGACAAAGGCGCTTCTGAAAACTCTCCACCCAAGGGATGGCTCAGCGACCTTATAACCATAGAAGAAGAATGGACAGAATGGCCTTGCTCTTGCTGAGATGGTGGCGCTTGTTCCAAATTTGGATGCACAGGTAGCTGATTGGGTAGACCATGGGATGGTCGCCTCATGGTGTCTGTATGTCTAGGGCCTGAAAAGTCTGGCCGGGGAATGAAGTTTCCATGTCTTGGATGAGAAGGTACCTCCATGACGTTGCCAGGAGAGGCACTGAAGGGCAGCCGGGGTCTTCCATCAGGGGCCCTATGCCTCAGTTCAATAAATGCTTGGCCTAGGATGTTATGCTGCTGAACTGGAAGGCTCTGTGGTGGGAAATGCTGAGGAAGTCCAACTGGATTATTCATTTGTGTGTTATTTAAAGGCCTGGGCATGTCTATGGATAGTGACCTTCTTAGCTGTGGAGGGATGCCAGAGCTTTGCATTTGCTGAGGTGGCACAAGGAACCGTTCCTGACTTGACATGGTACCATGACTACCTCCTGGAAATCCAAATCTAGAAGGAAGTAAATAGTTCAGTATTACGCAGAACTCAGAGTTAACTTGAAAAGAGGAAAATAAGTTTTAAACTGTATAAACCAAATTACTGTGGTCAAATACAATGACTTAGCAAAAACAAATCACCTTAGAAAATATTTAAAAATATCTGTGCTCATTACATTTCTAAGTACCTTACAATGAACACCATATATGAGCTATAAAGGCTTATAATCTAATCTGACAGAGACCAGGAGTAAAGATAAAGGAACAACCACTAAGCAAAAGGAATCAACTGTTAAGAAATAAAACTACTACCAGAGTTTCTCAGTATGTGTCTATTTCCTTCAAATAGCAATTTAACCCTGACAGAAATTGAAAGTATTACCTAAATCCATGAGGTCTCATCCCCATACCAGCAACATCAGGAGGATATGGGCCACGCTGGTCTTTTGGGTAAACAGCATATCTAGGTCCTAGAGGTGGGACAACAGGAGATCTAATATTCCCGGGATAGGGAGGAGGGGGTCTAGTGAAGGCCTGGTTGATACTTTCTGGCTGCCAGTGTTGCAGGGGCCCTGGATGAGGCACCACTGGGGACTCCTGTGACCCCTTTTCCTGTCGACCCGCAATCTTCTTCTGCTGTTGCTGCTGGAGAATGATTTCACGTAACTTCTGCCGCTAAATGGAAAGGAGCAAAAATCACTGGGATTGTGACTGTTAGTGGCCTTTAGAGTGGCTTTTTACATCCTAATGCCATGTCTAAAATATCTATGTTTCAAAGTCTAATACATAAGTGTTATATTGAACCATTCAATAGAACTATCATGAAATGGAATGCTTTCATGTTTGAGGATTCTTTTAAAAACTCACAAAAGCTGAATTAGATATAAAATAAATCAAATCCAACTGATGTTTATTTTACCAATCTCATTATTATTCTTTGCTGTTAAGACAAAATCTATTAAGAAGTGTGAAACTTAAGCATCTGGACAGAAATTCCTCAAATGTGATGAAATGAATAGCTTAAGTAATACATGCTATACATCTGAAAACATACAACATGTTTACCTGTCTTAACTTCTCTGTATCTGCTGGAGACATATTTACGGTATTCTGTGTATCAGTTACTCCTGAGGTTGGTACCGGTCCAGGGAGCTGGGGAACACTGGGAAACTGAGGGCCTTGAGGATGCATTGGCGAGTTTGAAGGTGCATTGAAGCTCCCCTCCGATCCGGGCCTTGGCTGATCTGCAACATCGTGAGCAGCCTGACTTGTTCCAAAAGAGTCAGACTGTGACCTGGGGGTCATCGGAGGCTGATCGTAGGGGTCCCGGGCCGCAGATGGGGAAACACGGCTCAGTGTGTCTGCAAGGCCAGGTCCAGGTGGCCTTGGTGCCTGGGAGCATGTGTCAGGTGGCCTTGCCAGAGGGCCAGGTAAGGCTGGTCCTCGGTTTTGTGCTGCTTGTAGGAAAGCATCCTGGTTTGGCATGAGGACTGGTCTTGTCACTGAGGCCCTCGGAAAACCCTCTGAGACCCTTGGCCTTGGTGTTGCTGGTGGCTGAGAATAAGGCGTGGAGATTCCTGGTCTTGGTGTGCCAGGAGGATGGGCATACGGATCAGAGTGCCTCTGACTGGCTGCAGATGTAACAAACAAGTCCGTCTGTGCAGGTGGCCTGGGGGTTAGTGGCTGCTGACTGTATGGATCAATAGTATTAGGCCGGGGAGTTCCAGGAGGTTGAGAATACGGGTCTGGATTAGACCGAGCTGTTCCTGAGGGTTGGGAATAAGAATCCACAACAGGGCGTGGAGTTCCTGGGGGTTGAGAATATGGGTCCTGAGATGTTGGCCTTGACATGGTTCCAGGCTGGGAAAAAGCCCTTGAAGGATGAGCAAAAGATTCATTCATGGCTGGATGTGGGGTCAGGGGAGGCTGGCTATACGGGTCATTTGACTGACCATGAGAGAAATGATCTACCGGCCTCGGTGTCAAAGCAGGCCTTTCATAAGGGTCACCAGGCAACCGCCTCGATGCCTGTGATACTGTCCCGTAAGGGTCCTGAGAGGGCGGAGGCGGCTGCATTGGGGTCTTAAAAGGCCCAGGACCACTATCAAGAGGCGCAGGTGTCATCAGGGGTCGTGAATATGGATCAGGTACCCGCTGCCTTTGAAACGCATCTGCCCTAGGAGATGGTTTGGAAAAGTGATCACTGTTTCCAGCTGCTAAAGGACCTTTTGCAGTTTGTTCTGAAACTACAGGAGAACGGGACACGCCCAAGGGTTTGGGAAACTGGTCTGTAATCACAGGCCTGGGTGTGTCTGGAGGCTTTGCATAGGGGTCACTACTTGCCGTGGAGGAGGGGCATAAATCTCTGACCGGGGACGGCCGACCTGCTGCCGTCTCACTCATCTGAACGGGCCTAGACACTGAGGACAAAGGCGCACAGTTTTCCATCGGGGCAACAGAATTTCTCCGGGAAAAACTGTGGCCACCAGGAGGCGGTCTAGGGGTGCCGACCATTTTCGCATAAGGATCTGCTGGCGATGGTGGTCGGGAGTTAGAGGCTCCGGGTGAAAACACTTGTGGCGAAGGGGGCTGAGAATTCTGGGGCTGAGTAAGACTTTCCTGGATGGGAATTCGGGCCGGGGCTGGAGGAGGAGGTGGAGCCTGTGGTTTCACAAACACATCATCGGAAGATGCAGAAGAAGGGGTACTGGGTAGCTGTTTCGTAAACAGGTCTTTATGGAATGACTGTGCAGGAGACATGCTTCCATTGCCAGGCTGAGGGGTCAAGGGACTCTGGATCCCGCTACTTGGGGTGTCTGAGCCAGACTGCACCAGAAGGTGCTGAGAACCGAACTGCTGCTGCTGCTGCTGTTGCTGCTGCTGCTGCTGCTGCTCATTTTTCACCTGCTCGAGTTTTTGCGTGGCTTCAATTTTAGCTTGCTGCTTACTTTTCTGACGCATTTGCTGTTAAGGTAGTAGAGAAAACAATCACACGATGGAAAAATGCAAAAGAAAATTTGTTAACGCCACAGCTCCCAGATTCCTCCCACGTTAGAGTATATATTCCAGAAGAAGAGAGACTATGCATACAGTGTGTCCCATTTACGCCTAAAGCAGAACAATCTTTATAATACTGGGTTGTAGGAAAAGTCAGGACATATTTTTCTGTTTCTCTATGCAAAAATGTGTCATGGCTCTTCCGGTGACCCAGTATTTCACTAAGGTTCTCATATCAATTTTAGTGAATTTACAGAAAAGGGAAATAAGTCTATTCGAATCACATGTTCACGTTCCACTAAGAGCAGCTATATTCCGACATAACAACATAAACATATACTCTTTCCAAAAATCGAAGATGCAATTTAAAAAAGCAAATCAGCTAAAAACGCATACCTGTCTAAACTTCCACTCTTGTTCATGTTCTGATTCTCTTTGCTTTAATGGATCTTTAAAAAGATCTGAATCGATACGAGAGCTGGGATCAATGCTGTCTTGGTGTTGCTGCCTTTTCATAGAATCATTTGACATCTGTACTTTATTAATGCGTAAGGCAGCTCTGTTATCTCTGGCTTTTTGCTTTGACAAAAAAAAACAGAAATTAGTATCATTATACGTTACATGTCTTAAGAAATAAAAATAAAACTGTAGTAAACTTTATCAGATAAAAGCACGGGATAGTTGCAACGTTGGGTTGTTGGGAAAGTCATTTTTGCACAGCATAACAGAAAAATACACACGACTTTTCTGAGGACTCAGTATTACTCTTTAGAACATATGGTCTCTCCTAAGAAAGGACCTAGACCCTAACACATCTTCTGTCTTTATTTATGTTTAAAATTTTGCCAGAGGCTGTGTACACCTGCTAGAGAGAGACAGAAAGAGCGAGAGAAAGCAAAAAAGCACTCCCATGGGGAACAGTCCTACTGCAATCCCTTCTCCTCCATATCTCTCATCTTTAGGGGTTTTGGGCACACATGCATGTGTGCCTGGAGTGTTTCTCAAGCCACTGGGTCCAGGACTCAAACCACACTATCAGTCGTATGGGATCCAGCCACCGGGCCACACGCGGGCTCCCATTTTCTCTGTTCACACACATAACCTGTCAGTTGAGGACGTACTTGTATGTATTTGAATCAGGCTGTGTAATCTACTATTCTGGATCCTAATTTTCTTAATGCAGCCTTAGAAAATGGAAGAATTCATAAGTCTCTCCATTAGAGAAAACGTCCTCAAAATAAAAAATATGGATTATTTGAAACTTATCACTAAAGAAAATCATTATGAAGCATTAAAAATATCCTGCAAAGGCCACCAGATGGCATTGTGGTGAAGGCAGTGGATCCCACATGGCCAACTCCATGGTTTTGAGTCCCTGACCAGATGGCTTGAAAAATATGCCCATGTGGGCATGCATGCCCAAAATCCCAATAGGAGACTGGAGGAAGAAGATCAGTGGAGTAGTGATCCCCCTGGGGGGGAGGGTGATTTCTCTCTCTCTCTCTCTCTCTCTCTCTCTGGTGTGTGCATGCACTCTATGGTGAAATCTAAAAAAGAAAAAAAAAAATCTTGTAATTACCTTGCTAATGTCTAGGTAAAACAAAGCACTGTGTATCAACACCTCAAGTGTGTGTGTGTGTGTGTGTCTGTGTGTGTGTGTGTGTGTGTGAAAATGTGTGCACTGGAGTTGAGAAATAACTGTATGTATTTCAAGACAATAAAACAGACCCTATGTTTTAAAAGGAAAACTAGGATTTCACTCTATTTATTGATAGTTGATAATGGTAATTTGACTCTGTGAGAGAAAACAATTCGCCATCTGAACTGTGAATCATAAAATCTCCTAATGATTTCTGGCAAATATCTTCTTTCTAAAGCTTCTCAAAGACATCTAGGTATGTCTCTGTCAGGCTGTACAAAGATTCTTTATTAAACCTAACAAGAGAAGAGCTTATTGTGTAAGAAACTGAGGCATACTAATTAATCCAGTCTCTAAATTAAGTACTCTTTGCTGAAAAGATAAAATAATTCTAAAGTTAAATGAACTAAACGTGAAAATCTAAAAGAGCTGATTTTTCCATTTTCAACATCCTGGTTCTCCTAACTAACTTCTAACAATGTTACACTCTATCTTAATACATAATGAGTCAGAAAATCACTATAAAACCAAACTGTACCATTGTACCATTATGAACAAGTTGTACCATCATGAACAAGTGTTTTCTGCAATGAAAAATCTTATTAAACTAAGACAATAAAAATAAGGTTAGTGTATTATGTGTACAGATTTATCATATAGAAGTTTTAAATACCACGTATGGGGCTCTCTCCTGCGAGCTTGCTTTTCTCCACAGCTTCGCAATCTGCTTGACTCTGGTAGTCCAGTCTGCACCAAGAGAACAGTGTATATGTGATTTTAGGGCCACGGCAGTGACACGCTGTAATAAAAACGTTGGCAAACTGCTGCCATGAGCATCATTCAGATCATATTTTCATGATGTAGTAGACTAGATTAAGTGCTTTAAACAACAAAGTTCCTGGCACATGGCAGGCCAGACAGGTATTCTCAGGATAAAGTGCTGCCTTATTAACAACCTGGCTCATAAAGTCAGGAAGTCTTTCAAGGGTCTTAGCAGCCAAACAAATTTTAAACCAAGTATAACACATTCCCTCGACACGTAAGATACTCCCTTTCATAAAAGGTCTGCATTAGGTAGTTTATTAGTTTGAGCCAAAGGAAGCAGTCGTGGTTAGAAATTAGCATCTCACTCTTTGTGTACAATGAAAACTTGGAAAACTACTGCTTGAACCACTTTCATGAAATTCATAGTATCATGACAGCACATAAAATGAAATTTCGGAGACCAGCGGTTAGCATAATGGCTACATCACCAGACTCCCATGTACTCAACTGCAGTTCGAGTCCCAGACCCAGTGGCTTAAACTCAAGCTGGGTGCGTGTATGTGCGTGCCCAAGATCCCAGGAGGAGAATGGAGGAGAAGGAATTGCGGCGTGGCCATCCCCCCTGGGGGGTGACTTCTCACTTTCTGTCTGTCTCTCTGTCTCTGTCTTTCTGGCGAGTGTACACGCACTATAGCAAAAACCTCTCCCAAAAAAAAGAAAAAAAAATGAAATTTGGGTGAGATGAATAATTAATGAGAAATAAAGAAATGATTTGCTCCATATTTCTGAAAAATGAATGCTTCCAAAAAGTCAATGGAAATAAAAGCCCGTTGAAAGACTAACAGCCTTAGCGTAGTATTTCCTGGGGTTCCTGAATCACAAAGTAAAATTATTCAAGGGAATTACTTCTTAAAAACCAAACACAAAAAATTACAGCTCTGCAACAAGGATGATTTACACGGACAAAGTGACTGAAGACCAGATGTGCTCATCACGGCAGGAAACAGCAGCGTGGAGGAAAGGCGAAGAGCAGGAGACCTTCCACAGACACTGATTCTGCTGCTGGATAGGGGCACTTGATTTACTTCCATACAAGAGGCACCTCAAGAGCAGAGGTCGCCCATACAAAAAGCCACTTCTAGGCCCCCATCCAGGAATTTAAAAGAGCTTATGGACAGAAAGCCAGTAAAAAACATTGTAAGACAGAATTTCAGTAACTATTTTTTGCAGTCCTGTCTGACATGTACTCAAAGTACCCCAACAGTACCAACTTCAAATATTCAGTAACTGGCATTTATTAAGGTAAATGTCTCATCCTCTGGTTAACCAGAACTTCAAAACTAATATAGCTGTCGCATATGCTTCTTTCTAAAGAGGCAGTGGTAACAGCAGGATGGTCAGGGAAGGCCGAAGGGAAGGGAGGGAAGATTATATTGATCAGTTTCAATACACACACTAGTTAGAAATGACTCTGACTAAGCCTATTTTGTTCAAATGTTTCTGCTCTAGAATTTTTTTTAAAAAGATTTTTACAATACTAACTTCTATATATTTTTTCAAGTACTGATAGAAACTTCTGGAAAACCAATCATTTCATTAATTAAAACTCATGTCTGGGAAGTATGCAAATAGGCATAGGGCCTAGGACTAAAGAGAGACGAGCTGTTTCTGCATCTTCAGGGACTGCCTGCATTGTTGGACAGTCACACTGAAGAAAAGCACAGGGAGGGACACGGCACTTTTTCTTTTCTTTTTTTTTTAACTTTCTTTTTCTTTCTTTCTTTTTTTTTTTTGAGAGGTTTTCGCTATAGGGCGCGTGTGCTCACCAGACAGAGAGAGACATAGAGACAGAAAGCGAGAAATCACCCCCCAGGGGCGATGGTCACACCGCTATCCCTTCTCCTCCATTCTCCTCTCGGGATCTTGGGCACGCACGCACACGCGCCCGGGGTGAGTTCTAAGCCACCGGGTCCGGGACGCGAACCGCGGTCAACTACGTGGGAATCCAGTGACATAGCCATTACGCTAACTGCTGGTTCCCAACACGGCACTTTTTAAAAAGCCACCGTAGATGTCAGAGGTTGTTAGAGACAGCAGTGATACGTCTGTGACCTACCAGGGAACTCCTCCTTCAAGCTGGGGAAGTTAACGTTCGTGTAGAGGACGGGAGCGACCGTGGCCATTTCGCCCAGAGCCTCCTCTTTCTCCCACTTCAGTGTGCTCCTCTGGGAGTTCGACAGGGTGTCATTCTCTCCTTCCATTGTGGGAGCTGGCGACGTCCAAGAGTTGTTAGGGTCACTTGCCATTGGATTAAATGCTGCGTTTTTATCCCTGGCAAAAATTAAACATGTTCACTTTGTAAACACAAACTAATGCTCCAAAACAATTTCTCAGGAACAACTTTCATTAAAGTCTATTATGAAATACCCCAAAGTAACACGTTTGGTGATGTTTATCAAAAACAACAATACATTTAACATATGCCAATATTGTGCCCAATAATTTAAACAGACTATCTCTATTGCTGGAAAAAAATTCATGCGATTTAAATTTCTGTGAAAAGGAAGGCTTTTAAATACCTGGAATCGGTGTATGGGGGTTGTGCTATGGCGGAGAAAGTGCCCAGTCCACTTCCAGGAGGCAGAGAGTTATGTGGGAGATGAGGACTGGGCCCAATAAGGCCATTCATGAGCGGCATTCTTGAAAACACTTCTTAGGAGAAGAAAGTAGTAGTTCAGTTTCCATATTATTTATAAACAAAACAGCTGGAATACTTCTAAATAAAAACCACTGACGTTATTTAAAAATAACTTTTTTTTTAATGTTATACCGTCCAATACCGGTTTGGGCTCTATCTACCATTGTGAAATTCGGTCTGCGTGAATGTGCTTACTTCATGATGGAGTACTGGAAACTGCACGTGAACCCAGCACCTCTGGAGGCTAACTTGGCTACCTCTCAGTAGCAGAATCCATGATCTATTTTGGTAAATGCAGGTACTCTGTCGCATGGGTTGAGGTAACGAATGTATAATTCTCAGCATGGTGCCTGGTATGCAGAACCTCTACAAAAAGAATTTCCCTAAGAAAATGCTAGCACATCTTATCAAATATTCTTTTTCTTCTTCATTACAATTTACAAACAGATATTTCTTAGATTTTACTCCCATCTTTTAAAGGACATAGTAAGGGACCAGTAGATGGTGTCATGATTACATCGCTGGACTCCCACATGGTCAACTGCAATTTGAAAGCTGGGGAAGTTAACGTTCGTGTAGAGGACGGGAGCGACCGTGGCCATTTCGCCCAGAGCCTCCTCTTTCTCCCACTTCAGTGTGCTCCTCTGGGAGTTCGACAGGGTGTCATTCTCTCCTTCCATCGTGGGAGCTGGCGACGTCCAAGAGTTGTTAGGGTCACTTGCCATTGGATTAAATGCTGCGTTTTTATCCCTGGCAAAAATTAAACATGTTCACTTTGTAAACACAAACTAATGCTCCAAAACAATTTCTCAGGAACAACTTTCATTAAAGTCTATTATGAAATACCCCAAAGTAACACGTTTGGTGATGTTTATCAAAAACAACAATACATTTAACATATGCCAATATTGTGCCCAATAATTTAAACAGACTATCTCTATTGCTGGAAAAAAATTCATGCGATTTAAATTTCTGTGAAAAGGAAGGCTTTTAAATACCTGGAATCGGTGTATGGGGGTTGTGCTATGGCGGAGAAAGTGCCCAGTCCACTTCCAGGAGGCAGAGAGTTATGTGGGAGATGAGGACTGGGCCCAATAAGGCCATTCATGAGCGGCATTCTTGAAAACACTTCTTAGGAGAAGAAAGTAGTAGTTCAGTTTCCATATTATTTATAAACAAAACAGCTGGAATACTTCTAAATAAAAACCACTGACGTTATTTAAAAATAACTTTTTTTTTAATGTTATACCGTCCAATACCGGTTTGGGCTCTATCTACCATTGTGAAATTCGGTCTGCGTGAATGTGCTTACTTCATGATGGAGTACTGGAAACTGCACGTGAACCCAGCACCTCTGGAGGCTAACTTGGCTACCTCTCAGTAGCAGAATCCATGATCTATTTTGGTAAATGCAGGTACTCTGTCGCATGGGTTGAGGTAACGAATGTATAATTCTCAGCATGGTGCCTGGTATGCAGAACCTCTACAAAAAGAATTTCCCTAAGAAAATGCTAGCACATCTTATCAAATATTCTTTTTCTTCTTCATTACAATTTACAAACAGATATTTCTTAGATTTTACTCCCATCTTTTAAAGGACATAGTAAGGGACCAGTAGATGGTGTCATGATTACATCGCTGGACTCCCACATGGTCAACTGCAATTTGAGCCCCAGACCTGGCAACTCAAAACTCATGCCAGGTGAGTGTACATGTATGTCCAAAGTCTCAAGAAGAGAAGGGAGAAGGGACAGTGGCATGGCCATCCCCCCAGGGGGCGATTTCTCGCTTTGTCTCTCTCTCTCTGGTGAGCACACGCTCACTATGGCAACTCTCTCTCTCAAAAATAAATGGTTGCATCGCTGAACTCCCAGGTGGTTGGCTGAAGTTTGAGTCTTGGACCCAGTGGTTTAAAACTCATGCTGAGTATGCGTGTGTGCGTGCCCAAGATCCCAAGAGGAGAACGGAGGAGAAGGGATTATGACGTGACCAGCTCCCCCAGGGGGTGATTTCTCACTTTCTGTCTGTCTCATCAGCAAGCACATGCACCCTACAGCAAAAAATCTCCCCCTCAAAAAAAGAAGTGATTATTAAATTGGTGCTTTCTCTGTAACAGTGCTGAACAACAACCAACATTTCATCTGCCATTACTGACTAGCTGGCTACTGCTACAAAAACACATGTTGTGTTTTGCACCTATTTTTCATTACTTGCAAATCAGTTCCCAAATCCATATTAACTCTTATTCTAATTTATTTACACACTTCAAATACCTTACCAAGAGACAGAAAGCAAGAAATCATCCCCCAGGGGGGATGGCCACGCCACAATCCCTTTTCCTCCATTCTTCTCCCAGGATCTTGGGCATGCATGCACACGAGCCCGGTGTGAGTTTAAGCCACCGGGTCCAGGACTCGAACCGCGATTGAGTACATGGGAGTCCAGTGACACAGCCATTACGCCAACTGCTGGTCCCTCAAATGTTTAATTTCAATCGTTATTGTAATCATCTGCTTGTCTAAACTATTTGTAAATAAGTAAACTGTCCTTACTAAAGTAGTTTTTCCAGAAAAAGCAAACAAATGAAACATAAAACAGCACTCTCCACAAACTTTCAAAGAGTCCTCCCACTGAAACGCAGGGAAGTTCTGTGGAGACATACGCTAACATGTGGCTCTCACGGCCCTACCACAGCGGCATTACTACTGGAGAGCCGTGTGCCAGCCACGAAGGGCAGCACGGAGGGCTGACAACAGGGAGCCACTAACCTAACGATTCCACCACGTCGTACGAGGGCGATGCCACCTACAAACAACATCTGACGAAGTACCATGACGTCCCGTGACCTATGCCAGGCCACCGGGGTGTTACCACATGAACAAGCACATGTTAACATGTGCTCACAGGGAGGCTACCAAGGCTGATTCCTGACGAGGACTTCCCAGAGCGACCCGACCTCCAGGGAGAGGCTTATTCCATTAAAGGCCACTAGATGAGGATTTCACAATGAAAATGTCTCATGACACTTAGGTTTACTCCAAAGAATAAAGGGGAAATTTTCTGCTTTTCTTAAAAACAGAATGCTATGTCTATTTTCAACTTGCAGAAGAAGAAAGTTCCATAAAGGTATCTAACATTTTTTTTTTTGGGGGGGGGAGAGATTTTCACTGGAGGGCGCGTGCGCTCGCCAGACAGACAGAGAGAGACATAGAGACAGAAAGTGAAAAAGCTCCCCCCAGGGGGGATGGTCACGCCGCAATCCCTTCTCCTCCATTCTCCTCTCGGGATCTTGGGCACGCGCGCACACGCGCCCGGTGTGAGTTTTAAGCCACCGGGTCCGGGACACGAACCGCGGTCGACTACGTGGGAATCCAGCGACATAGCCATTACGCTAACTGCTGGTTCCCAAGGTATCTAACATTTTAATAAAAAAAAAATCGAATGTCTCTCATGTACTCTACTGGCAACGTGAATGTGACCCACACCCAGCGGATAGCTACCTGCACCAGGTCCTGCCAGCACGGAGTGAGCACATAGTCACTGAGTCTGCTCACCGGAACAGCTGCTGTTCCCTGGCCACCGGTCTACATGGCGAGCACAGTTCTGAGGGTGTGCACTACCCCAGCGTACCCACGGGGACTATGGCACTAGGTGCAGCATCGTTTAAGCAAACAAGACCCAGGGAAGTTACAGAATTTGTTCAAGGACACGAAGTAAATGCAAATTACTTTCCCTTCTTTCTTTTTTAATGAAGAAGTTCTCCCCTTCCATCCCTTCTGTTTTCTGTAAGTCTATCATTCCTACCCAATCTGGTCATGTTAGTGTATAAAACTAACTTGTCTTCAGGCATGACCCATCCTAACAGTTGAACGCTAACTCACATACCTTTCTTTGTACATGAGGGCACTTCACATCACATATCGATCTGGGGTCACTGTCAACAGGTTAGTCTTCCTTTTTTTCTCACCGCTGTGAACTGAAGCTACTCCACTGACGGACCGCTGGCATGGTCCGATGAAACCATAACTTGTTAAGTATTTATCTGCCTAATGGACACCCTGCCTCTCCTGATGGTAATTTCTGAGATCCTATACTTTTCAATGTCATAACCTCTATTTATTTTACTCTCACTTAACCCTTAAAAGGGCAACATATAAGGAACATGTAACTGAAAACCTAATATGAATGGGATGAGTTCAGCACAGACTTCACTACATTTCATTAAAAGGAGGTCCTCAGATTCTCGGTCTGGCAGCATCTCCTGAGAAATCATGCCCTTCCTGCAACTTCAACTAGCATCGTGTCCAGGTGATTCCCAGCTCCATCCACTGCCTCGACTACTTCCTACTGCCGTGATCCAAAACGCTGCACACGACCCAATTTCATCAAACTACAAGTGGTCTCAAACTGAATCCAACATGCCTCCACCACCTTCTACCACACCTGGGACTACGCTTGCGCTCGCACTCACAGAACACCCCCCCTCCCCGTTCGGAGCTCCTAGCTGCAGCGAGATTACCCTCAAGGCCAGGCTGACTTACAGACAGACTTATTCATTTTATCCCCGCCCCCACCTCGCCCCTTTTCCTCATACCTTACAGCCATTCGGCAGCACAAACCTACTTAGTCTAAGTTCACTGCCCCATAGCTATGCCTTCAGTTAACATTAACAAACTCATCAGTACAACTCTTCATGTCACAGATGCATTTCCAACACTGTAGCCGGCAATACCTTGCCAAAGCAAGACTAATCAGGTCACTGCATGGGTGTGAGGTCTCTAACAGCTCTAGGAAGTGGGAGAAAAACAGGTCTGCTGCTCCTGACCATTTCAGTGCCGTCTACAGCCCGGCCCCATGTGCATTTCTAGTGTTGTCTGTTCAAACACAGGTCCTTCCTTTGCTCCGGGAAACGTTCATGCTGCCATTGTTGAACAGCTAAGAATTACCTTGTATGTAATCTGATCACGTTTTACTTTGAAATCAGAACTATTATTCTTTCAAACATGAACACTGAAATCTTATTAATTCCTTATTTTATTATTATTTTTTTAATCACCAGAAAGTGCATGCAGCTTGCCAGAGAGGGAGGGGCTGGAACAAAGGGCAGTGCTGGGGCTGATACATCCATTCTGGTCATAGGTAGATCACACACAGAAATACCCACACGTGCACACGGTGGTGTCACCCCAGAACATCACAGCATACCTGGACTGTGCATTGGCAGCAGCTGTGGTGGAGGAGGGGGCTGTGGTAATGGGGTCGGCTGGGCGGTCACGGGACTCAGTACAGCAGTAAACAAGTCTTCCACATCCTTTCCTCCAAGCTCTACAGGATAAAATAAAAATGGCACTAAGATTAAAAATCTATTAGGGTCACAATATAAGAAAGTCCATTTTCATATACTGAAAAAACCAGAACACGAATACCTGGAATCTTATATAACTTTCCAAGAATTGCCCCTAGGATAAAATAAAGAAACAGAAATATTAACAACTACCAGTTCCACACACTGATACAAAACAGCATTTAACTGATACAGAAATGATCAGAAGTTCAATGATAAATAAGCATGCAAAAATCTTTGAAAATCATATTTACTCATGTCTTTTAGAAAGCCTAGATGTAGGGCAAATATTTTACCATCTGTGACCATTTTGTCTAGCTCAGGACTGAGGATTCCATCTAGCTGCTCTTCACTTAACGGTCGTGAACTCTGATTGACACTTGGCTGAGGCAAAGAGGAGGGATCATCAGTGATGGGGCCAATGTCTATAAGAGCAAAGCAAAAAAATTACGAAGTGAATCTAGAATACTCATGCAACATGAACAGCACTATTTATGGATTAGCGTACAACAGGATTACAATACATGGGGTCCTCAAGTTCATGGAAAACGTGTATTATGAAAAATTGGTTTTAAACCCAAAAGGTTTTAAACCCAAATAAACTCATACTTCAATTGTATTTTTTCATGAGCTTTTTGAAGTTCCCCTGTAGAGAAATTAAGTCTATAATTCTGAATCAGGCTTCTTACATCAATTTGGATGGCTAAGCAATAAAAACGAAACACAATATATTTGTGAACTTAGATGCCGCTGAAAGTTGTATTTTAATCAAAGGAAATATATTTCCTGAGGAATAAAAGAAAACATCTCATTTTAAGTAGGCGATTTCTGGGGGAAAAAACCCTATCTGGTCACAGAAGGGATAGGAATCTACGAGAAGTCAATCATAGATAACTGTGGTATCTTAGAAAGCAGTGGTGCCAAACATCCGGTTCAGCTATCATATGCAATGTGTGAAGCAGAGGGAATGCAGTTCACATAAATTAATGAAAATGCCACAATTCTCCACTAATGTTTATCAAACATGATACACTATAAATCATTTCAACTATAAGTTATATTGTTAAAGACAGCCTGTGGCCATTCTGAAGATACAGATTATTTCTGTAACATGTTTTATCTCAAACATGTTTTAGGTTAGAGTTGCGTGTACAATGGGCTATCATCTACCTTCTCATGTTCTTGCAATACTTTACTACTGAAATGTAAAAATTAAGGCTGTTCTTATTTTACCTTATATTAGAAACTAACTCCCCAACACTTGGGTAATATTCTAAGTTATATATTAACAAGAACGAAACCATTAATTTAAAAAAACACTACTGAGAAAATTATCCAAAATGCAGTGCAGCTATGCAGAGCTTTAGCTGCACACCAAAGGGGAGAACAAGGTAGGGTTAGTGACAGTCAGCACTGCTACAGATGCATGCACCTACAGGCTGTCTCAGCCGACATCACTCTAAAAGGAAGACTACTACTAGCCAGCGGTCATCCGTTGCTCAGTTTCTTACCAAATGGAAAAGGTGAATTCTCAACCTGGAAAGTGCATAAATCAAGACCTATAAGACCCAAACCAAATAAAATGGATGATTACCACAGGAGCGAGAGGTGAGAGAAAATGTAAACAAAAGAAGAAACAAGCTACAGTAAAAGACTTTAAGGCAGCATGCCTTAAATTTGATGCAATCGGAAAGGGAAGAAAAACTAGTATGGCCCCTCCTAAAGCAGGAAAGTAGAGGTAGATGAAATAAAATGTTGAGTTCTTTGACAAAGCAAAAACAAACAAACAAAAAAAACCAAAAAACAAAAAAACAAAACAAAAAACACAAACAAAACGCTTCAGTTGCTGGGAAACAGACAAAAGATGTTCACACGCACACACCTCTTACAACGTAAGAAAGAAAGAAATCAGGCACACAGCATTCACATGTACCTGAGTGGCCAACTGATTTTGCTAGGTCATCTGAAATTACTCCCAGAATGTCATCATCTGTGTTTAAGACTTCAGAAATATCGGCTAATGGGTCATCAGCAGTACCTAAACACAGTAATTGCAGTTTTAAATGCCGGTACTTTCCTGACATTCAGTTCTGAAACACCTCATTCATTCAACCATTCCCTATGTGCCTAGACACAGTACAGAGCAGAGCAGATGCAGAACTGTTAGAATGAGGAGAAGTCCAGGTTATTTCAAAAGCAAAAAAATCTTAGCAAAGTCACTATAATTTCTGAAAAACAAAAATGTATTAAAAATTCAGGCTATTTTTCGTTTTGTGACAATGTATATTGACGAAATTTAAAATAAAGACGTGTAGGGGCTAGCGGGTGGCACGGTGGCGAGAGGTGCTGGACTCCCACATGGCTGATCACAGTTCAAGTCCCCCTGGCAGCTTGTTTTCTCACTTTCTCGCTCTCTCACTCTCGCTCTCTCACTCTCGCTCTGTCCTTCTCTGGTCAAATTTAAATAAATAAAAGTTAAATAAAGTAATTTTTAAAAAGATACAGTGCTAAGTATTAAAAATAATAAATAAATAAATAAATAAATAAATAAATGAAGACTTGTAGAAAACAAAGTGTAATCAAATGCTCTAAGAAACAAAGCAAGGGATTTCATGAAGAAAGTGGCACTCTAAAAGTGACATCTATTACAGAATGTAAAACACAGAAGTCAGTAAAACATGAAAGACAACCCACTACTTCAAAATCCCTTTCACAGTAAGAACAGGTGCATCCAACTTCCACCTGTGCTCTTCACACCCATTCCTCATCTATCCCTCCATTAGGGAGGTACGCAGTGCCCACAGGACTAGGTCTATGGATTACGTATCAGGCACTGCTCCACCCTCTGGAACAATGCAGGGGTGCATAAATGCAGTGCACACTCTCCCAGACAAGCTTCCTCCTCAGAGGGGGTCAGACAGTAAAGGAACAAAGTCACTGTAAGTGCTATGAAAAACATAAAATAAAAAAAAAAGGATTACAAGTAAGCATGAGGTGTCATATTAGATGAAGTGGCCAGGGAAGAGTTTTTAAGAGAGAACATCAGGGCCAGCTGGTGACATGGTAGTTAAGGCAGCCGGATCAGACATGGCTAACTGCTTGGCTCCTGGACCAGGCAGCTTGAAAGATACACTGGTCCCATGTGCATGCCCAAAATCCCAAGAGAAGAATGGAGGACAAGTGATTGCAGCATGGCCATCGCCCCGTGGGAGTGATTTCTCACTTTCTGTTTCCCTATCTGTCTCTAGCGAGTGCACATCCAAAAACTAAAATAAACAAAATGAGGGAGTAACATGCCTAAAGACAGAGAGAATTACCCAGCAAAGGGAAAAAAGACACACAGACCCTGGGAGGCAGGGCTCGTGACAACAGCCACGAAGAGGAAGGGTCGTGAGGGCGAAGGCAGCTAGGACAGGAAGACGCACAGTTTCAAAGATCAGGGGGAAGACAGGCTTTATTCTAAAGTGTAAGGGAAGATGGTGGAAGGCTAAAGACATGGCATATTCTAAAGCGAACACCCTAGGCCGGCAGCCATGTGCAGAGGCAGCTTTGAAGTGGCGTTAGGGGAGGGCAAGCTGCAAGACCAGAAACCAGACACCAGTTAGAAGCAAATGGCTATGGTGTAAATGGGAGGATGAATGGCCTGGAGTGTGCTAATAGGGAAAATTAAGGAGCTGGCTCTGGGATCTCTTCTGGGGCAGACACACATAGTGAATGCGTAAGATGTGGAACGTAAGAGAATGAGAAGTCAAGGAGGATTCTAAGGTGCTTTGGTCTGATGAAGTAGGGAAACAAGAAAACTCTTAATTAGGCTTCCTTTAGTAATTACATTAGTCATTTGATTAACGAATATCTGTAGTTTCCACTTCTAATTCATCTTGAGTGTATTTTTACTTCTATAAAAAGGCGCAGCAGTGGGGAGTACTGTACTGCTGTACTTCTCTGCACTATGTCAAGTCAAATATTTCTGTGAAGCACAAATGCACACCTCACAACAGAATTCGTACATAAGAATGTGATTTTTCAAACTGAAAGTTAAGGTGAGTTTTGTAGGCCCAACTATTCAGAAAGTGCTTAGAGAATTCCAGTTATTTCAATACAATCATCCCTCTGTATCCACAGGGCATACACTCCACGACCCCCAGGGGATGCCTGAAACCACAGCGTGTACCAAACCCTAGACATGAAGGGTCTCCAGGAAGGTCGTGTAAATGTGTGCTATGAGAAAACAATGCATGGACTTAAAAACATTTCTGCACCAAAATAAATCCATACTTTAGCTCCATTTTTCCACAAAGTGATTTTGTTTCATTTTTTTAATTTGCTAGAGGGCATGTGCGAGAGAGAGAGAGAGAGAGAGAGAGAGAGAGAGAGAGAGAGAGAGAGAGGTGAAAAGAGAAGAGAAGAGGAGGGGAGAGGCAAAATGATACAAAATTAAACGAGAGAGGAGAAAAAATGAGAAATCATCTCCCAGGGTGGATGACCACACCACAATCCCTTCTCCATTTTTCTTTTTGGAATTTTGGGCATGCAAGCACACATGCAAGGTTTGTTTCTCAAGCCACAACTGGGACTTGACCCGTGCAGTTGGCCATGAGAGATCTAGCACCACACGACCACCACCACTGTCCTGCTGGCCCGCCCTTACCACAACATTTTGAAGTCACCTCATATAGTATGTTTTTTCCTATACATATATATGTATAATAAAGGTTAATTTATAGATAAGGCACAATAAGAGACTAATAATAATAGAATAATACAAAGTAGTAAAAGTTTCTTAAGTGTGGTCTCTTTGTCTCTCTGAAAATATCTTACTATTCTGTACTCATCTATTTTCAGACCATAGTTGACCACAGATCAACTGAAATCAGGGAAAGCAAACCTTAGATAAAATTGTATGACTTAAAATTTGTTTTTCCAAAGTGAGTTTATGGAATTAACTGAGCTGCTGGCCCTGCAGTGCACTGCTTAAGCGTTGTGCATACAAAGCTGGTACGGTGGACCATAATTTGAATCCTGGCTCTGCCAGACTGAAAAACACACTGGGCACATGTGAGTGAGTGCATGTCTTGAATCCAGATGGAGGTAGAAACGGAGGAAGGATTCTAGCATGACTGTGCCACACTGGGTGTGCTTTCTCTCCCTCTAGGGAGTACATGCAACTTCTGGCAATAAATATATACAGCTGGCTCTGTGGCCTGGTGGTTAAGGCAGCCAGATCCTACATGACCAATCCCATGGTTCGGGTCTTGGCCCCAGTGGGCCCTTGCTGGGCATGAGTGCATGCATGCCTAAACTCCCAAATGGAGAGAGAGGCAGAGTGACTGCAGTGTGACCATTCCCAGTGGGGGTGCTTTCAATTCTCCCTCTCTCTGCCCAGTGCACATGCCCTCTAGCAATTAAATATATATATGTATTTAAAAATTAATTCAGTAACCAATATCATCTCTGCAAATAGGAAGTGAAAGAACCGGAACTTTCAACTGATAGTACTATAACAATCTAGAAGAGGGGGAAATGCTGGGATCACAACTCTTTTATACCCCACTTGTTAAATTCCTCAAGCTCTGTTAATATGACTTTATAAATATAACAAATTCTCTTACCCTTCCTTGACTCCTATCAGTTTCCTAATCACTGCACTTAGAACAATGATGTCCCACCAGGGGCAACTTTGCCCACCAGGGAACATTTGGCAACATGTGAAGATCTTTTTGATCATCACGCGGTTCAAAGGCCAGAAACGCTGTGAAATATCCACAATGCATCCATCTCCTCCTCACAACAATGAAGTATCTGGCCCTATGAGGAGTGAGACACTGACCTCGAGAAGTAACATTTTGCTGCATCAGCACCTTCTGACAGCAATTCCTCCACTACAGCATTCGTTTTTGGTTTGCCTGTCTTGAATTTCTTTGGGCTATGTAGTTAACAAAAATCTACCTTATCTAAGTCAAACATTATTGTATTTATAACTCATCATCCACTGTCAAATTATACTCCCTGAGACTGTATCTAGCAAGCATAAACCAAACGTTTCCCTTCAAAACTCTTGGTTTTGATGGTCATTAGGCAAATTAATTTGTCAAATCTTACAGACTTGTTCACTTAAGAGAGCTGCATTTACTGAATGTAAATTATGCTTCAACAAAGTTGATTTTTAAAATGCAAAAGCCCAAACAGAAGCATTTTAAAAGTTTAATTAAAAGATAAAGGTTATACAACATAAAGAAAGCATCTGTGAATTGTGCCATATACCTTGAGTTCCAGGTTTTGCTGGAGTTGAGGATGAACTAAGCAGCGGATCTAAGGAAGGGTCCAAGAAGCCTGTAGTCAAATTTGTTTTATATGAAAGCTGAGCTGAATCTTCTGACAGATTATCTAAACTCAGCCTGTTTTGTCTACTCGTATCTAGAAGATCTTTTCCAAAGAACGCTTCCTAGAAAAAGCCAAGCACATATGAAAAGGATTAGTTAGATTCCCCTTATTTTAAAAATAAGATGGCTTATAGCTTTAGCAGAGACAAATGAAATCAGGCCAATAAAAACTCAAAATTAGGTTCAATACATTTCTAGCAATGTAGTACAATAATTTAATTCCAAGAGATTAAGCTACAAATCAATATAAAAGTTGCTCAATTTACAAATACTACTGGCATACATAAATACAGTAAGCAAATATCCACAGAATAAGCAAAACCGAAGCTTCAGGAACATTATTAATGTTTATAGATTACTTGTAGAGGATAGATCGAGAATTTTAATACTTAGCATACTTCAGGTAGATTCAGTATTTTCACACTAATTCCTATAACCACACACAGACTTAAACTACAAATCTGAAAGAGGGTTTTTGTACTTCTTTTAATGATACTATGGGTGCAAAGTTTACCACCGTTACAGGCTTTTGGCTTTCTACTCATTTACTAGGTATTTCTCCATTCTGATATACTTTCTCTACTCCAGTGGTTCAAGGTGGTTCCTTGCAACGCCGCATCTCTCCAGAACGTCTCAAGAATCAACACAGGAAACAAAGAGTAGCAGCCAGGCCCCTCTCCTACTCCAACCTAGCGACCTTGCTTCAGTCCATTCTACCACGGTCCGACAGACTAAGGCTCCTTCTCCAGGACAATTCTATAGGGGCCGTCAGCAGTCAGCACACTTTTACCACAGATATGCACATGCACAAAGGCCCACTGCAGCATTTTTGTACTATCAAAAGTGCAAAGAGCCTTAATGTCCACTGGCAAGCATACGACTAGTTAGATTATGGACACTGATACTATAAAATACAATACAGTGATCTTTTAAATCATGTAGCCTTATGCTATTAAAGAAAATCCTTAAATACATTACTGAAAGAAGGCAAGTTGGTTGATATGTCCAGTAAAACATTAAAATTACAAATCAAGACTATTGTAAGTATGTGAAATATTTTTAAAATTCTGAAGGTACAGACCTAACCTTTGGAAAGGGGTTGGGGGAGCGTGGATGATGAGGTCTGGTGAAGGTGATGACATATTTGATTTGAAATTTTCATAGTTTTTGTTTTTTTTTTTTTTTTTGGAGAGGTTTTTCCTATAGGGTGCGTGTGCTTGCTAGAATGATGAGGTCTGGTGAAGGTGATGACATATTTGATTTGAAATTTTCATAGTTTTTGTTTTTTTTTTTTTTTTTGGAGAGGTTTTCACTATAGGGCGCGTGTGCTCGCCAGACAGACAGAGACAGAGAGACAGAAAGCGAGAAATCATCCCCCAGGGGGGATGGTCACGCCGCAGTCCCTTCTCCTTCATTCTCCTCTTGAGATCTTGGGCACGCACGCACACGCACCCGGCATGAGTTCTAAGTCACCGGGTCCAGGACGGGAACCACGGTCGACTACGTGGGAGTCCAGCAACATAGCCATTATGCTAACTGCTGGTTCCCTGAAATTTTCACAGTTTTTTAAATAAACAAGTTGTTTCACTATGAAAAAGAAATCTGAAAATCCACAAAGCTGAAGCACAGGTGGTACCGTATTTCTTACACCAGCAATATTTTTATCATTGCAGAAACGCTGAATAACAGAAAGTATCTTAGAAGTTTAGAGATCATTATTTAATACCAGATAAAAATTTAGGAAATCTAACAAACACCACCATTAGCAACAATTTTTTTTAAACATCTTACAATAACTTTACTGATGTTTATTAAAATCTATAGCCATCTCACTAAGGTGGTGAGTTTTCATCCTCACAGTTAACACAAAAAAACTGACCCCACATGGCTTCTGACTTCATGGTACTGCCCTCAACTCCAAGAACCAGCCAGAAATTGCAATTCCTAAAGTCACATGGATCACTATCACAAGCCCGCATAGCTGTTTCTAGTAGATGATGCAATTTGCAGCTTATCCTGAAACTGTTATGATTAATAAAGAAAAAAAGAAAAAATATTACTGAATTTTTGAAGGATCTGTCACTGTGTGTACCTTTAATGAATGAGAAAAAATACAACTATCACAAAATACCCAAGAAATAGGGGCCAGCAGGTGGTGTGGTGGTTAAGGGTACTGGACAACCACGTGGTGAACTGTAGTTTGAGTCCCAGACCTGGCAGCTTGCTTTCTCACTTTCCTTCTCTTTCTCTCTTTCACTCTGTCCCTCTCTGGTCAAATTAAAATAAATAAATAAATGAATAAAGTTAAGTGAAATAATTATTTTAAAAATTCAGGAAACGATAGTACCATTATAAAGACTTTACTCACTTAAGACATTTTTTTTTTTAAAGGCGAATTCACAAAAGGAAACAGTATAGCAAAGTAGACAAAGGTAATATCTGTAATTGGGAAACCTGATCCAGTCTTCCAAAGGCTCTTTTGCCAGTGTTCATATTTTCAGAAACAGTTCAACAAAGTTCTTTGCACATTACAAGTTAAGAAAGAATCAATAGCAGGGGTGAGTCATCTTCTCATTGCTACGAGAAAATGACTATTTAGAAGGGAGTATGGCCAGCAGGTGACATGGTGGTTGAGGTGCTGGACTCCCACATGGCTGACCATGGTTCAAGTCCCAGACCCGGCACCATGCTTCCACACTCCCTCCACTCTTGTCTCTCTCTGGTGAGCATGTGTGTCCTACAGCAAATTAAAAAATAGTAATATATAAAATTAAATAATTCTTTAAAAAAAAAAGGAAGGGAGTTAAAGGGAGTAAGTGATACCAACACCAATGAGACAGATATAAAGAAAGGTAATCTAAACATAAATGCATCCATTTCCTGACAAATAAGTTACTGCTCTGTATGTGTATGTATCTCTTTAAAGGGGCAAAGCTAGAATAAAGGTATTTAATAGGAATAAGGGGAAAATAAAAGATCCTTAAGGCTGCATAAAAGTGAGGCTCAGCTTTGACATTTTACATATATATTCTTTCTTAATCTCTGAACACTTGTATGACCACAACTTTAGAGATGAGGAAACTGGGCACTTAGACATTACGTGGTGATAACATGACCACAGGATGAACTGGGAGCGGAGTGGCACTTAGACCCAGGATTGTGACTTTCAAGGCTGAACTCTTTAACATGAACACAGGCATTAAGTTAGTGATCTAATTATAAAAACAAAAATGAAAACCCCAAACCAAAAACCAAACCAAACCGAAACAAAACAAGACCATTAAAACAAAAAATCATTGGGGAAGCTATATGTTAATTGAAAGGAAATGTTTTTTTTTAATCAGTTAAACTACTGGGTTGTCAGAAAAGTCATAATGTATTTTGTGCTTTTCTATGCAAAAATGCGTCATAACTTTTCCAACAACCCAACAGTAATGGCTAACTAAAAAATTAAGGTGAGAAAATAAACAGAATAAGCAACAAAACACATCTACATAGGCCATCATTCTGTGGGTGGGACAGATGAGATGAGCAGTCATATGCACTGAAATTAGGATGGTCACTCAATAATAGTCTTTTCCAATTCAATTTCGATACAAGAAACAGAAGCCTAGGAAGAAGAAAAACGTGCCGAGGGTTCCAGAACTAGCGAGTAGGAGACTCAGATGCTAAGTCTCAGTCCAGTTCCTGACACAGGGCTCTTCCCAATATATCAGACGTCCTTGAACCCTTCTGTGACATAACACTTACAGAATAACTTAGAGTTTTTATCTTGTAACGTACATCTACGAAGCTTAATGTCTTCATCTTGAGAGAGATTTTTCTGATATGTACTTTGGATTTACAAGGTCTCTAAAAGATTATTAAAGTTATAGCTGGAGATACTACAGCCAGTATTGACAATGGGAAATTTCAACAGGACTTTGTCCGGGTAAATGTTGATATGGCTGTGAGTGGTTTGGAAGGCTAAGTTCTCCCACCCCAACGTGTCCTTGCTATGTCGTATAGAATTTAGAAATGAATAAATGGAATAAAAAAAAGAACTTTATGAAAAGTATCAAAGCACACACATGAAAAGAAAGAAAACCAAAAAAATCAAGTAAATGTTCATTTTTATGGGCTGCTGGATAGTAAAATGGCATTTATTATGACTAAAAGAAAACAAGTAAAACATTAACAAAAAACAACAAAGCTTTCTTAAAAACTTGATACATTACATTTCCTCAATTAACAAACTATATAGTATAATTTAAAGCAAAATATTACTTGTAAATAGGCAGGGAAAGTTTCTTCAAGTTTATTTTTCCTTTTTCGGTATCTCTTCTTTATCTTTTCAGTGCTTTCAGTAACAGAAACAGATTCATCAACTAGAGTATCTGGTAACTGCTCACTCCAGCCTGAAATAATAGTTACACTTATAAATATGTGGCATTTAAGATTTTCAGTGAAATCTACCCAAGGTAATGGGACAGCTTACCAACTTAAACAATTTCACATAAACTTTTTTTTCACAGAAAGTATCTCAAGATGAGTTAATTAGTAAGTTTTAAAAATCATAAAAATTTCATATTATGTGTATTTCGTATTAGCATGTTCCCTATTGATGTTTAACAATCAGTATTTCCTTGGAAAAAAGAAATGTTTTTTAAACACAACATTTTGCTTAAATGTTTTAAAAAATGAAAGTACCCAATGCTCATGAGTATGAAGAAATTCACAAATTATTGAAGGACATTTAGTGGCTACAATTTTTTTATTAGGTGAATTGGGACTATGCGACCAAAATCTTTACAAGTAACGTGTGTCCTGTATCCAGCTATCTCAAGCTTGGAACTGTAAATGAGGGAGATAGATACACACAGGAAAGCCTAGGACTCTGAATATGCCTGGAGATACGACTATAACCATGAATACATACTGAGCGCGTTGTCTTAAAATCAGATAAATGGAAATAAAGCTGAATTTGGGGTGATGGAATGAGCAAAGGAATAAGACCACTTCTTAAAAGCAGACAGCGATGCTCATATACTTCCAAACGACAGGGTAACGGCACCTGTTCCTTCTGAAAATAAATGTGGGTACAGCTAGTGCCCTGC